TTTTTAGTTAGTCAAAATAACAGTTATATAAAGTCTCTATAAATAATTTCATAATGATTCTCAAATCGCTTACTAAATTACAATATGGCGAGTAAGTAGTTAAACTGAAAAGAAAATTCAATTGCAAAGGTTTACTTATCTCTTTTGGCCAATGTATGTAATATGCCAATGTATGTAAATTTAAGTAAAGTTCCTTTCGGCTTATGCTCTATCTAAGTGACACAACACTATAGAAGAAGAAATTGAACAGTGGTTTGAATTTAACTTAATAGCTTTCAATTTCAAACATTCAGAGCTCAGGTATTTATTTTAGCATCATTGTCAATTCATTTAGTTTTCAAAGTGAACTTATTAGATACTAATGCTGTTATTAATAATATTATTTCCTATTTCTCGATGGCATTGGCTTAAAAAAATAATTCACTATTAAAATATTTCATTCTGTAGATTTAGAAATGCATGGCACAAAAGCAAAATGCAAATAACCAATTCCAAAAATGTTTTGCAAGGGTTGTATCTACGTCAACTGTTGCAGAGTGGTACAAGTATCGTATAAACGAAGTCATAACTCAGTATGCTTCATAGAAGTTTCGATTGTATTATGTATTAGTTAGTTTGTTATGCAAATTGTAGAGTAAGCATTAAAATGATATTTGCATGCAATTAAGAATGAATAAAAAAACTTCACAAATGTAAAGATGCTATTATTGTTAATTTAATGTGTTAGGTGACGTGACATTTGAGTAGTATAATAAATATCTTAATCTCAGAATTTTACATCATAAAAACACATAAACAAAATAATTCTTAAAATTCACTACTACAAAAACAATACTGTATTGATAAGGTTACTCATAATTTCATTACGAAGGTCAAGAGGTAAGTAATATTTATCTAAATAGGTGACATACATTTTACTTACGCGTTGCTTATTTATCGGGAAATTTTGACAGTCAAATTGCACTTTTGACCTATCGCGGTACCACTGTGCATTGTGGTCGTTGTGTTGTAGACAAATCTACGAATGATGAAAAAAGGTCAAAATTCAAAATAATTTTAGTACTACATTTTGTATTTCATATATAAGCAGAAAAATTTTTGAATGTCAAAAAAAAACAGGAAGAAATAATACGTCTATTGTCATTAAATATTTACATATTATATTTTTATTAGAATAAAAAAAAGACACTCTCTTGCTATCTAATCATATCTTCGCGGTAAGAAACACATTTGAAATTGTTTTTTCATCTAAAGTAACTAAATTAAGGGACACACATTTCAACTTATGCAACTGCCCTATTATTTTGTCGGTTAACACTACATTTCGCTCCCAAGTTTATTTTAACACAATAATTTCTTGATTGCATTACCAAATAACCAACAAGTAATCATGTCGAGGTGCCTTAATGATCCATTTGATCGTACGTCACTAACTGGACAGTTATTTAGAGGTCTTAACAACACCCGAAACTAGTTTTGTGATATAAACATTGATTCGATTATCGATCAATCAATCATGGTGGGATGCTGCAACGGCGCCTCGCGGTCTATATTCATCAGGGTTCGACGACTCAGCTCGCGTTTAACGCACAGTGCATAAAGACGGCAAACATACCAAACATTTTAAGAGTGCGTATGAAGCTGACGACGATGACTTTGATAGTGAAGTCACTCAATAACACAGATGAAAATGTCACAACTTTTTGTCCCAGTATCAGTGTTTAGAAATATTATATAGTTAAAGTGTAGATTTAATGATACTATTTTTGTATGTTTGGGTAATAATTAATTTGCTATTAGTGGTTCGTTTTATTCATCCTCTTAACCACCGTGTAGTAGAGAGCTTAATGTTCAGTGAGTTTGTTACGATCTCGCATGTCATTCTTTGTACAACACACACGGTATGTGATTGATATAATTATTGAAATACCTGTATTGTAGGTACTGACCTTTTTTACTGTTAGCAGTTTTGGTTAGTTATATCCAAAGTAAGGTTTTACTGAATTTGTCTTTTGAACAAGTTTCATTTTTACGTGTCAGTAGCGAACATTTTCTGAATATATGATCAAGAATCGAATAATAAATATGAATTTTATTAAATGGATCGACTAGATACTTAGCTCTTGTATCTTACTTCGTCAGAGTGCTACTTGGATAAATATAGACTATATTGGTAGGTACATCCATAATCTCTTTCTATGGATGAAAATGAAAGAATTTTTTTTGTTAAAAACGGGTTTAGTAGTTTTCGAATAAAAAAATCTCATCAAATCTTTCCTTTATTAATAGTATTAGTAGCTGTAACCAGCGGGTCAGTCCAGTCCATGTGGTCAGTGGACTGTGTGCACACTGGTCTTTTATACTGGAGTATTAAGCTAATCTGAATTCAAAATCTGCCAGTAAGCATTCACATTTTTATCATCATCATTAGCTTATTAGCGTCCTCACTGCTGGGGTATAAGCCTGCCCAATAGATGGATCTAAATAAGAAATATCTACCGGTGTTTCTCTGAATAACACGCATGTCTTCACGGAATAGTCCTGTCGCTCTTCTATCCATTTTTAGCGCGCATTAGAATCGACATGCCTTGACGTCAAAAAATACAAATAAATGTTTTCTTTGAAAAAGTAGACCTTTTATTGAAGTCTTTTAATAATGACGCTATCCTTTTGCTTGGATCTAGATGTTTGACTACTGTGCTTATTCGGGACTTTAAGATAAAGGCTTTCATTTTAAGGGTTTAAAACAGCCCGATGCTTTGCGTGTGCAAGATTCTATGCCTGATCCTCATATCCATTTTAGGGTCAGCTTGTTCTTGATTTTTCAATTGTATGCAGCTTTTTCAGACATTTTAGTGCGTAACGTGCGTGATATTTTGTCAACGGATATTCTGCCATCTCTTCAATTTGTAGGGATCGATATCGAAAATTTGACTCAACGAAAATAAAATTGGCACTTGTAAGCTTCTCAACTTTACATGTAGGGGAGGATTAGCCGAAAAAATTTTTTTTTAAAGATTTTATACGATACCAAAGCAACTTTATTAGATAAAAATCGAAAAAAGTAAAGACTATAAATATAACAAAAATCAAAATCCCGTTTTAATAGTACAGTAGTGTCATCTAGTGATCAGTAGCGTCAGCTAAATGTAACATTTTCATAAATGTAACAATTTGAATTATTAAATACACTATTTAATCCTGCGTAAAGAGCTTAAATAATTTAATATTATAGATTTGGAACAGGATGACATGGAATATAATTACAATGGTGAACTGAGTAGGGATGATGTTTGGGTAAAAAAAAGGAAATACTGTTAAGTCCGTCAGTCAGATAGTAGAAAATTATTACATATGTTTTTTTTTTTCTTTTTAACAAGATATATATATATATATAGCTTAGATAACTGGCATTGAGTTTTGTAAAAAATGTATATAATTTTTGCATAACTATCACCGTTTACGTAGCGCACATAAAGAAAGATTTAAAAAAGTAAAAATTCTCCCGTTTTGGCAACATTTTACTGTTGTTCTTCTTCTATATGTCAGAGCGTGATGTTTTATTATTAGCCCCCTTGATAAATGGACTTCTTGAGATTATAGAGTTCAATAATTATAGAGTCCAAACAAACTCTTCAGCTTTATTATTGACTGATTGATTATGTATTTATAGACTAGCTTTCTTCTAGTCTCCCAAGTGCCTAGGGAATTGTTTAGTGGGATTAAAAGTAGGCAGTAGTAGTTTCATCAAAATCCATTCAGTAGATGTTACTTAAAAGACTAACAAACTACATACATCCTCACAAACTTTTGCATTTATAATATTAGTAGAATGTGTGAATTACGTATTACGGCATTATCATTAATCCGAAATCGGTAATTTACTAATGGTGCTTGGATGACATCTAAAGTAATAATTGATTGTATTGAATTATGACTATCAAGATAAATAAGGATAATAAATCTGGCGGGCATGCTTTCGATTATTGGGGAGGTGGTAATCAATAATACATTTCGAAGATATAATTAAGAATGTTAATTAGATATTCTGTGTAGCGGCATTGGGTGGTCAGTTAATAGATTATCCATGTTCCAGATATGGAATGAAGCCTAATAGATAATTTAACGGCCACCATTGATTTTAATACATAAATACTTTCCCTGGTATGCGCTTCTAATTGTTATTTTATTATTTACAAGTGAAAAGGTTATATTTATTAATCATAATTATTTTTAGGGATTAGTAAGGTACGAATCCCTAAAAATAAAAGAAGAAAAAGAATTTTTAAATAATGATTTTGTAGTCAGACCTTTTTGTTAATGAAAACTGCTTAAAAATCCATTTTTTTTTTTACTAAGAATGCGCTATTTATTAAGAAATCTATAATGAACGCGATTTTTTCTAATTCTTCACGCATCATTCTAATATTAAGTTTGTCTTTTTTGTTTATAGCTTTTGTAGTTTTAGAACTTCAGTCATGTAAGAGACCTTATTTTTTGTCTACCTCTGAATTGTCTGGTCTATTGTGTTTTTAGATTTTAAGCTGCGTCCCGGAATATCTTAAAGCATCTTTATGTACGTCATGTATTTTAAAACTCGCACAGCGGTTTTGAAATTCTTACGATATGATTCCCGAGTTTACACTGTCTGTGGTTTGCGCTGCGCGGTGGAATCTTCCTTTTCTTTTTATTAAAAACCAATAAAGAAATAGATAGTTAACTTTTTTTATTAAACTATATTATTACTGCGTCTTGTTTTTAAGCTTGTCTCGGGTTTCCAACTTAACATCCTAGTCTTGGTTGGCAACTCTTAATCCTACGTATTTTGTATCAAACAGTACACCTTTTTTTTCAAAAGAATTATCCAAATATTTTTTGATGTGGCATGATATTCATATTTAATATTTATAAAATATTTCTACCAAATTTTTCAGAAAGGGAGAAAGTTTAAAAAAAAGGATCGCCATTGTTTTTGAGCTAGTGCTCTATTATGGTTGGTAATGTTTGCGCGGGCGCGGCACGCGTTAATAACAGTTCAATTGAGGGCACCCATCTTCCTTGTGAGTACATAAAGACGTACGGAGACATGAGGAATCTTCTATTATATCTTTATTGAGTAATATAAGAAAACTAATTGAATCTGTAAACAAACCATTTCAGACAACATCATATTATATCTGCCACAATTTTTTTAAGCCACAGATTTTGCAACCGGTTACATTTATAACCAAAATAAATAAAGATTCAAAAAGATAGTAAAAGTAACTATGTAAGCTGTCAAGTAGTGGGTGCCGCCGCTTTCCTTATAGTTCACATATCGTGAACACATTTTAGGATCGTGATCCCGCACCGCTAGGTTCGAATGTCTTTAGATTAGAGTGTTACGAGCACTATAAAGCGACTGATTAATTCAGCCTGCCGCCAAATGTCCTGCGCGTGCAATTCTATCGTGTCGCATCTGCCAGGTAGGCAGAGAGCTAAGCTGTTGCAAAATAGAGCATGTGAAATTTTATTTAGTTTTACTCGCCTTTGCTAATCTCATAACCTATCAATAGAACTTATTTAATTCAACTCGCCTTACGTATATGTTTATTTTGAAAACTGCTAATTCTTAGCTTCTCCTTCCTCATTCTAGTAGCTACGGAGACTGTAAATGTGCTTTAACAGCTATTTAATTTTATAATATGTGTAATGGTTGGACTAACTTTACCAATGAACTAGGCGATCTTTTATCCAATTTGCTTCAAAAATATCATTACAAAATGGAATTCAACCGTCAACACTCTTCAATAATTCGAAAAGCCATTTGCAGATTTTAAAAAGTTTAATAACAATAAAAGCGAGCCTGTACATTATTCGTAAAACATAGACAGTCTCTAGGACTAGCTGGCGGGCGCGCACTACCCGCTGCGTTTTGACATATCGCTCGTAATTCATCGAGATTGTTGATGCTACTCTCAATTCCGAACGGGACGTTGGATTCGTGACGTACTTACTTGTGGACCAGTCCTTTGAAATCAAAGTTGATACAAAGGCTAGTTCAACAATCAAATGTTCAGCTATTGGTTCACATCTTACGGCGTTTTGAGTAATATTAAGTCAAACCTATGGGAGGTATTTTATTTGATAAATTTTGCATTTTCAATGCTATAATATTTTATAGTACTTAAAAATTCAGATGCCTGAGACGAAATGTTTTGATGATGACAAAATACATTAGAAAAAAAATCGTAATTAGTGTTTTCGGTCGCCTAAATACGTTAACTTATCGCTGACGTCACAAGATATAATTATATCATATTTAAATTTCATTTCTGTTTTACATTTTAAAGAATTATTCTTTAAATAATTTGCAATTCAGTAACTTGTTGTTTGTCTATATTTCGAAACTATTTAACTTTAGGATATCCAAATAACAAGTTTCTTGGGTACTTTGAAAACCATAACATTTCTTACACACTAAGAAAATAATGTTTTGACTTTGAAAATCTTCGTTGGTTCCATTTTGGCTTCCAACTCCAAAGCAGCTAACTTTAAGCTGGTTGTATTGTAAAGAATTTGCATTTCGTACAATGTCTTTATTATAAACAGAAAATAGGCTTCCTCAAAGACTTTCCGATATAAATATATTTATTTTCGTTTGAGAGTGAAGATGTTGGCTCCTAATATATAAGTTATCAAATCGATTTACTTTTGAAAGCAACGATAGTCCGTCCGTTTAAAATAACAGTCGAGATCCTTTTATGAATGAATGATCTCCTAATGAACTTTCCCCAAACACTTCAACTGAGGTCTCATAAATAAATAAATATTCATATGCGGTGAATAACATGTGAGTATTTTTTATACATAAAATATTTTCAAGGAGTAAATAATACTACTAATAGTATTAGTTTCCGAAATCGCTCTGTGTGCAAATATAATATGATTTAGATAAATTAAAAAGAAGAAAAGAAAATCTGTATAAGTATAATTTTCTTTTGTACCTACTGCAACAGCAAAAAACTTATCGAATCAATTTTAAGCTTTGACTCGTTGAGAGTTCAGTTCAAAATTGATTGCAGCCTTTTGTAGTGGCCCGATGATGAGAGTACGATTTCATACAAAAGATGGAAATTTCTATATCGAAAATGGCTCTATTTTTTTACGTCTATGTAATTAATATAATTAATACTTGATACGTCTCTACTTTCGTAAGATAAAGTTCATTGACATAAGAAGACACAAAAAAAAAAATGTTCCTTTACTTTTTTTTATGTTAAACTGGCGGTAAGATCTAAGACAAGAACGTAACAGTTTGTCTAAAAAGACTAAGTAATTTTTAAGACTATTCTATTCTCAAAGTAATAAGTAATTAACTTATTCTTTCAAGAAATACAAATCATGATTACCTAGTACAATAAGTACAAAAATATTGATTCAGTTAGGGCATAATAAGGATAATCTGAGCGATTATACCAGATTATAATGTACGGAAGACATAATAATGTTTACCTTTTATTTAATTTCTTTTTGTTGTGCAAATGTCTACATTAGCAATTCACTTACAAAAGATATAGCTGGTTTTAGAGATAATTAAAAAAATATATTTGTAAAAAAAGGGGGAGAGGGAAGCAGTCTATGTAAGTTTCTTGTAGTACATGTCGCATACATCCCGCCCGTCGTAGACTTACGAATCAATGTCGTAGTTTCATCGACTTTCAGAAGTTCATTGGTGTTCACAGCTTTGACTGAGTTAATGATATTGGATTTAAAATTGATAGCGTTTATATATCGGTCGGGTCCCTGTGTTTTATAGGGGTCAGTAGTAAGGAAGAGGCGTGGGTGCCCTGACTCACCGACTTGATCATTCGTACCGGCTGGTTCCTGCTTACCAACCCACTGTTGCTATATCTTTATAAAAAAATAAGCTTCCGTATGTTCCCGTCTGCAAAAATCAAAAGATAATCGATGGATTGTCATTAAATTTTTACATATCGTTGCAATTTCTTTTTTCTTATCCGGTACAACTATTTTTGATATATTCCAAATAATATATGTTACGTATCGATATTGTGAATTTTGCATTTGCAATGTGTGAATTAAGAAACTCTGGCATGATACTTTTGTTGATTTTGTTTCAAGTATTTCAAAATATAAGTTACTTGTTACAGTTACCGAATTAGAATGAGCGATGGCGACCTTCAGAGTGGTGCTGTATGCGTTTGTTTTTTTACCATCAGTACTTACGTATTGCAGTGCGGGTCGTCGCCCCTGTTATCATTTCGGCACAGATTCCTTGACGCCCGCACCCCTCGCGGCCATCTCCGCTACTATCTGAATCTATATTAACAATTTAAACTTTTTACTATTTATTAATAGCAGACATATCTACTTAACATATTTAGCTGTAATTATTAATTCAAAATGCTTTCATATTTAAAACTAAAAAAGTACTAATTAATTAGTGTAAAGAGCAATTATTAGAAAAAAACTAACAGCACAGGTTTAATCTAAAATTGAAAAAAGTAGGTCGCTGTATCAGTATATACACAAGATAATAATGCTGTGTGTTTAGAATATTGGCACTTATTAAAAAAACCATAAATTAAATGCAAAAATATGTTGTATTAAATAACTTAATCGAACAATTAAGTCACAAAGTAAAATTAATAATGAATCCCTAATAATATTAACTAATTTGAAGTAAAAGCTCGTGAAATTTTCCGAAACAAGTCAGACTCATCTTGTATAAATAAATTGCTACTTTGGTATATGTTATTTTTTTACAGGAATTCTATAGCATAATTTTAACACTAAGATGTAAGTTGATTAGATCCTTAATGTAATGCCAATTACAATTTTCCTGGGATAAAGTTACAAATCAAAGATATATATAATTATTTAAAACTATGTTATAAACAAAAGTATACATACAAGTAATACAAGTCTATGTTCCGTTATTGTTCATTTTGATTTTCCACAAGCCTCACAATAGATTGCTTATAAGAACGTTTACTTTCTATGAATGAATCAACAGTATGAAATAATATATTATGGTTGCAGGATAAATGTGTGAGTATCATATTGTTAGCATAGTTATTAGAATATAAATGAGTGTGGAAAAGAGAAGTGTGCCTGGTGCGTCGTGAAGGTACCCGAAGTGCCAACCTCTCCAAAAGTTAGAACCCCATATCCAATAAATGCTGACGCTCCTCTTATGTAAGTAAACGCAGTGCATGAGTGGAATAGTTTCTTATGTATTCTCATCATCGCCCTCGTATCGTATAAAATATAACTTCTGTGCCCAAAAAGCTCATACCCCTTTATAGTTTAACCGCGGTTTAGCTCAAAAACTATTGGTACTCGAAAGTTGTAATTTGGCATGAATATACATGTTCATTATGGCGACAAAGTGGTAAAGTAAAAATAAGAAATATAAAAATTTTGGGTACATTCTCCACATATAGAGTGGGGATGATATTTTTTTCTTTTCTCCATAGTATGGGGCATCGTTTAATAGGTCTTTCAAAAATATTGGAGGTATGGGAAGGCCGTTTTTCGATTTAGCCAACAGTTTGTGACTTATTAAGCTTAATAGAGATAATTTTCGTTAGTCAAGTGTCCCCCCCTCTAGCAACAAATTGGTCGATGGCCTATACCTACGTACGTATGTACCTATATATTTCGAAGTTAAAAGGAAAACTATCTCACTTAAGTTGGCTTTACAAGATTTCGATTAATAGTCGACCAAATACAATAGTCTAAATGTACTTATTAATTAATATAAAACTTGTTAATTAAATATCTTGTAAATTATACACTATATAGTAGTATTTTTTTCTTTTACGACATTTAACTTAAAATAAATCAAGGTATAATTCTTTTGATTCTGATTGATCATCAATTTATAAAAAATATTTCTAAGCTTTAAGTGTTATTTCTAAATCTATGGAAAACATGCCAGTACTATATTTGGAATAAAATCTGCTTTTATAGCAATGTAATGTAAATCAATAAGTAGTATAATTTGAATTTACGGTTGTCCTCCGACCTATTTATCGCACACTTCCATTTCTCCGATTCATCTTTTTTGTGCAAATCACCTATTCGAGATATTACGAATAACACAATTGGATACAGTTAAGTGGGTTACACTTGTTTTGATAGTGACCTCGGGCTATCAAAATACGTGCATTTTGATGATAAGACACTTTTAAAACAAGTTTTGTTGGAATTGTTTGTTGTTTTGGTGCATTTATATGAATGTCTAAACCTGGCAGTGGCTGTGGATCGGTTTAATATTTGTGATAGAAATGCATAAAATTTTTAAACAATAATGTAGCTTTGTTTAAGTTTATTATTCGATCCATAACTTAACACTCGAGAACAGCGGACAGGACTAACTTATGCTTAACTTCGTTTTGGATATTTGCGTGGAAACTTTTGTATATAAAATAGTAAGTGAGGAAAAGTAGCAGCTAAATCACGCTCTAAAAAGTTAGAAACAAGAAATTTATTTTATAGCGATAGCTATATAAGCCCTTTCATTTAAAAAATATATTATTCATTAATTGTAGGGTACACGAAATGATATATTTTTTTAGTTTCTTACTGTATGCTCTCTAAAGGGAGCTGTTGCCAATCGAATGTAACGTTACATATCCTATAGTAGCGGACAATTAAGACTCTTCTAATGATGGCTCATTTGTCCAGTTACTATGAGTAGTTTTAAACTTATAACGGAACATATGAACATTATTACGTACATACATACCGACCAAAATCATAACCCTCCTCTTCGCTTCGCCGTAGTCGGGTAGATACATTTAAATAATGAAACGTTGTAAACTTTATCTTTTCAGTTTAAGCTGCTGACAAATATTTATGAAATTTGTTTTTGTTTCTTTTTTTCATAGTCTTCACACTGGAAAACCACCTCAAAAGTATGAAATTGCCTTCCATTATCTAGATAATGGCTAAGATTATCTTATAAACAAACAGTATTGTATTATTTAGGTATATCAGTTATACGAAGCTTTAATTTTTTGTCATATTCCAGGGTGATGGTGCCAAGATGACAATGCAGTGGTTCCTGCCGGCGCTGCTGGCGCTCAGCGCGCTGGTTGCCGCCGAGCCCCGGTACCCGCAGAGCACACATCGGCCGCGGCATTGGCAGCGCGGCATAAGGACACTTGACGACCGCTCGCCGAGCCAATTCGTCGGGTAACAATAAAAACACCACCTTTATATATGATACCATTTTATTCTGTCCAAAACGAGGCTTATAAATCCTAGTAATTAGTAATTTAGGTTGCTTCTCTGCAAGATTTAAGCTACAACGATGACAAAACTTACATTCTTGCTAGAAAATCAGTAAATGTGTTTTTTCTGAGTAACTATAGCTTAAGCATCCGTTAACATAAAATCGATATCTTAGACTAGATATTATGAGGACTTTTAAAAAGGCGTTTCATGTGATATACTCTCTTTATATCTTGCTTATCGTGATACAAAGGTTCCATCCATACAAATTTCATCTTGAAGTATTTTGTGATTATGCTGAATTTATAATAACACAAAGAAAAAAAATATTTTTACTAGCAATTGATGTGATCAACAAAAATAGTAGCATGAATCACGCAGGTGTCTGTATGCAAGTGTTAACAACACTTCAAGGTATCGCAGGAGCATCGCCCGTTCTGCGAAGACGTGTGGTGCATAATATGACTATTGCTAGGCACCGCACTGACCCAGGCCGATCATCATAGTCAACATATTAATATGCTGTTGTTTACACAGGATTCTGCCGACAATGTTTGCCCTAGTATACCAATATTATTTTGTATTCGACAAGTCCTTAATTTTATCACTCTGTCGGAAAATGCACTTTCTTACCATCTAGCTTAGTATTGTTATCTAAGCAAACATGTTATACAAATCAAAATTTTCACCTATAAGCATATTTGGAATGATTTTAGTCCTACTACAATATTTAAGAACTAAATAGGTGACTTTTTAAATCAGCACTAGAAAAGTGAAAACTAATGAATTAAGATCAATGTCTTTTTGCCTACCCTTTTCGAAGATATGCGTCAGACACGTTTAATTACATTTTTAGTCTAATATTCAATTGAAAATATTGAAATTTATGGATCGTTAAATTATGTTCTGAAGTCATTAATGTAATTGCATGATAAATAGTGGTTGTTGGGGTTCAAACAATGTTTCAATATTATTGTTGGACTGAGTCACACTTTGTTAACTTTCAATTATATGAAGAATATTATGAATAATTAGAAACGAAGAAACAGTAGGTATTGGTAGTGCTTATACAATTATAGTTGCCAAGCCATAGATTATACAAATGTGTAACTTTCCTAGATCAAGTGAGTATCTTTTATGTCTGTAAGCAGGAGTTTATTCATGTTATCTTCCGCGAATTCAGATGTCCTTCAACTTATCCTATTTCCTGATCCTATAGAACAATATGGTAATATGAGATTACAATGTACTAGTACTATGGCGCACGCGTGGGTGGCCTCCACGCTTGTAATTTCGGGAGTGGACGTTTAGCAACCGGACCTTGAGCAGGTGACGAACCACTACCGAATTGGGTCATTGTCGGTGCATCGCAAAATTGCATTTGATACGCTATTTTAATATACCGTTCTCACGGTTTCGTAGTATCCTTGATGAGAAATTTTGAAACCTATAATACTATGGATGTTTTTGAAAAAATGAGGAAGAACAAATGATAAGTGTATGCACAAACAAACATCAGAAAAATCATTTGATAACAATGACCAGTCCACCAAATATATACAAGGGAACTCAACAAGTCATATTTAATTAGGAACTTTTGATTTATATACGATACATATTTTCCAATCAGGTTTCAGCTTATCGGCTGCCAAAGAACAATATTGCAGATATTTGGCCTTTTGTAGTAATTGGTGATCCATATATGGTTAAACTGTTTTGATGCAGTTTAACCAGATATGGACCAGCAATGATATGTTGCACTATTCTAATTTTGTCAAATAATATAACTTTGACAGTTTACATAAAATACAACGTAAAGTCTATTCTTTCAATTGGTTTTGCGTATTCTATTTTTACGCTTCCTGTAATATGGAAAACAAACTATATAAAATAGGTATAACAATCTAGACTAGCATAATTTCAATAAGTTACCAAAACATAAACAATTGCATATTGCACAGATATTGGAGATTTTGTTACAAGGTCTACTATATCAAAGTCTAAGGTCGCATTATTAATAACACATTCTGCCCCCTGACCTGATACAGAAATTAGTCCAGTTAAAAGAGCGAGGCGAATCGCTTAATATGACCAACTTAGACATGGCACAGTGACAATTACTTAACACAAGGTTCCTAACAAAGTCCCGGTCAAGTTTTGGACGATTACGTAACAGTTGGTCAGAAGCTTTAATAAAGACGACAATTAATTTGTCAACTGTTTTGTAGGACGATAATGTTTGGATGATTTACGGTACGCTTTTTAGTTCATAATACCTTGTATTGAATCACGTGGGTGGTTACAATTACCGATTACATTCATTACGTTCATATATGTGGGTAATTACTATAATTTTATCATACGAATTTATATTCAAGCAATTTGTTTAATTTCGTTCACTTAACTAGAATTGGATATTAGCTATTACGTCACAACCGTATTTGTTTTAACTATTTACGCTTATGAAACATCAAATTGTTATTGAACTATGCTATTACCACGGTATTACTAATTTATCAAATTGCAAGCAGTTCTGTTGCACAAACTGGATTGTTAGTTTTAATACTGTCTTATTATGTGTTTAATTCTATAAATAATTAAATTACAAGACTCAACTTTTTATGCTATCGTTTAAAGAAGTATAATTATATTTCTTATAGCTGTTTTGCTGTGACTTTGCCCGCGTAAATTAGGCATAGTCTGTCACCCGTGTATGATTTAGTTTCCTGTAGGGACGAATTTTTAAAATCGGTCCGGTAGTTTCGGAGCTTATTCGATGAAAAATAAACAATCAAATCTTTTCTCTTTATAATATTAGTATCGTTACAGCAGTTTCTCCCCCGTGGTCCTGTATTATTTTCTCTTGAATCACTCTGTATATTGATAAAAACCGCAATAATATCCGTTGTGTAGTTTAAAAGATCTCAGCACACAGACAAAGAGGACTTTGTTTTATACTATGTATACAATTGCATGGAACAACAGAATATAGTTAAAGTAAACCCAAATTAAATTTAGTTTCTTTTAGTTTAGAAATTCGTACAACAGAATGGAACCATTATTAACATTGCGAGTAAAAGTAAAATAAATTTCAAATACAACCTTCTTGATTTCTTGATTCTCTTGACACTTATAAAAAATAATAAAATAATACATACTTTTTGGTCATCGAATTTCGATTTGCACAATATAGTGCATAAATACTCTTTGGTTTTTAATAAAAAATAAATAAATAAAAGAAGATTGTGGGAATCTTTTTCATAATTTTTCTTTAATTCCAAAAATTGTTTTATTTAAATACCTATTAAATGTGATTGAGACAAGTCAAAATACGTGCTGTTGTTTCAGGCCACACGTGTGCCGAAGTCGGAACAGTACGCATTGCTGTCCCGGGTGGACTTCTAGGCCCAATTCTTTATTATGCGTAGTCCGTAAGTACTCCCATTGTTATTATTCCGTAACTTATATTACCAAGCAGCTCATCAAGCAATTCATAAAATGGAATACATTTTTTATTAACTTAAAGTTAGTGCAATGATGTACTGAAAATTACCCTAATATTTATTAAATTTCTTTCATAATAGTTAACTGATACAGGCATCTATATAGTTTTTGTTTATCTCTGCTGATACATAGATTTAATGTTCCTTTTTTATTGGTAGTTATTTTTAATGTTTTTTAAGCTCAGAACATGATTACGAGGTTATCAGAAGATTTTAACAATAGCTCTTTTCATTATTTTGATAGTTAGATTTGTGGACTGCTTATTTTTTTTTCAATATTACCTATATGGTAATTAGACAAAACTAAGAAGTTTGGAATTATAAGATAAATATGATGGCTACTGTAAAGTAGAAATGAATATAGGGTATTTTAGTTGCTCTTATTATACCCCAATTAGTGTTTAGTATCAATGACAACTTTTTCTCAAATCTACTTCTTAAACTATAATAGGCAGGAGGAGAGGAATCAGTACGAGTATATCGTTAAATCCAACCATTCTTTTTCTTCGTAGTCTGATTCAATTGAAATTGAGTGTTCTGACATAATTGAAATGTTTATAGTTACCTTACAGTCAACTCAATGTAACATATTTCCACAATTAATTTCTTCCCATAACATAGTTTGCTGTAAACAAATTCTTTGCAGCACTTTGCCGGCCGGACTGTGGCTCTCCAGAGTTCTGTATTGCGCCCAACATGTGCCGCTGCCCGAACGGTATTGAAGCGCCATCTTGTAATTCCGGTGGACTTCATCCATATTCGCGTAAGTCATTTTAAAATCATTTATCTCTGTTATACGTCCATAACATTTTAAATGGTTTTTCTCAACAACCACATGTTATCAGCAAATAAAATGTTAATAGACTCTAAATTTTAAATGTGAGAAATAAATAAAAGATTAGGTATATTAATCGGCATGTTTATAAAAAGACGATGTGAATAGATCTCTATTAACTATACACTGGAATGAAATAAATAATGCCGATTAGAATCATCTACACATTTCGCATCATCATAAAATTATTTTTATTCACTTCCAGCTCGTACGCGAGGAGGCTGTAGGCGGATTTGTATGAACGGCGGTACTTGTACTAATGGGACTTGCGCATGTGCACCAGGCTGGAGCGGAGAGTTCTGCACCGAGCGTGAGTAAACTACCAAGTTTTTATTGTTGAATTTTTTTGCGAGTATTTATACAACATTGTGTAACCTTATATTTATATCACACGTATAAATCTATCTTATTAAGAAACTTCTATCAATCTACATAGATAGGTATATATGTTTTTCACAATGCCTCTAAAGGCTGCTCGGTGCATATGGACTCGCATGTCGCTTTTCTTTTATTATAGTTGAATCTGAAGTTGCCTGTTTTATTTACTCTGTTGTCCTGTTTGCAGCCATATGCCGTGAACCTTGCTTACATGGCGGCCGTTGTATCGCCCCGGATCGCTGTGTGTGCTTCCACGGCTTATCCGGCACACGGTGCGAGATCGACAGAAGAACTGGTACCTACGCTTCGTATTAAGTAACAGATTAGACCGTATAAAAATCGTATGCTCGTGTCGTACTTTAAAAAAAAATAGCTTTCTAACTCTACTTGTCCTAGTTTATTTTATCAAATGACAACGAAATTTCACTTTAATATCTAAAAGTATATTTATGGAAAATATTGCCATTAGGAACAAATACGCATAACATCGAAGTTTTACTTCCTAAACGGCTATATTCTTAACTGTATTATTATCTTTATTAGTGAACTGAACTCTGAGATATAATTTATCGCTAAATATAATGCTTCATCTAAAGAACGACCAAGGTTTTTTTGTATGAAGCCTTCGTTTTGATTTAAGCTGTTTATCACACCGTAGTATTAAACGATAGTCAACTTGATCGAATGTAATCAATGTCATGGATCAGATTTCAATAAAAATGTGTCGAACAGAATGTATCAAATTTATTACCGATCTATCGACAGTCGTACTAATGGTAAGTGAAAGAAAAATTAATTTGTTGTGTTGATGTTTGTGTAAAGTAATAAAAATAATTCCTAGGGTCTTCGGGAACGAAGTAAATATACTGTTTAATGAAGTTTTGCGTTAGGATCAATACAGCTAATCAATACGTTTCTCATTTATTTGATTCACGATATCCTTTCCTTTTTACGCATATTTTATGCGCATTCCTAAATGTGTTTGCACGTAGGTCCGTGTTACACGGACACGCGCGGCGCTCTGTGCACGGGCGCGCTGGAAGGAGTGGTGTGCACCAAGCAGCTGTGCTGTGCCACCGTGGGCGTCGCTTGGGGGCATCCCTGCGAGCGCTGCGCAGACCTCGACTGCCCACCCGGACACTTACGTAACCTCGCCACCAAGGAGTGCCAGGTACTGATACCAATGGTATACAGCGCTGCTTAGACCTCGACTGCCCATCCGAAGACCAAAGTGTGTCTGCACGCATAGCGTGACGAACTGGAGCGAAAAATATTCTATAATCTTAATTCAATGCCAGCAGTAGAACCTCTTGGGATACAGCGTGTTTATATTAGACTGTTAGTAAAAGTCTATTCGCTATCTGGGGTAGAAAAGGTGTCTTACTGTATAACTATGCTTGGCATATCGACATCAGGGTTGGATATAGGGGAGAAGAGGCAAGTGAGAGCAGTTTCAGTATTCTTGTTATAATAATAGATCTAGTGAGTCCTGCGACCTGTGTGTTTTCTTTATTTATATGTTTATTATAAGATCGTTGGTAATCTTCTCTGGCTTGTATTCCTATGTGGCTTAGCAGCCAATATTATAACAGAAAAGTCGTTTTACCTACAGTTTTTTGACAACAATACTGGTAAAGTATACCTGCAAGACCAAGCATTATAGACTTGTTATATTACATCCGAGAACTTATAATTTATTAAGACATAGTTTAAAAGCTGTATTGCATTAAATAGTCCCGTGAACATACCTACTTTATAAAAAAGTAAATATTTCACATAAAGCACTTTGGTATTAGGGTTGTTTATGTTATCTTACTTAGGGCATATCGTATTTCTCAGGATATAGACGAATGTGCAGCAGTACCGGGTCTTTGTTCTGGCGGCAAATGTGTTAACTCCATAGGCTCATTCGCCTGCGAGTGTCCACCCGGTCAGCGACGCCATCGGCTCACCAACAATTGTGAAGATATTGATGAATGCGAAGAACCCGATATTTGTCCCGTAAGTTGCAGTGTGTTTTGATACGTACCGCGCTTTTTATACTGCTTTGATGTATTGTATATGTAATAATATATCAAACATTTAATTAACACATTCACTGCGTTACGGGAAGTATTTAGTCGTAATTGAGTTCTGCTCTGTGCGGCAGCTAGTTGTCCTTGTTTTGCACTCCGTGCGAGGGTTATTTCTTCAAGTATTCGTACAAGTAAAAAAGAGACGCCTATATTGCCGGTGTCTTTGCTTGAAGTGTATAAAATTTACGAATAAAAATGTACGGGTATTATTTTTTCGTAACGCACAGAAAGGTAATTATTTTACAATAGTGCGATACGGGAACTATTTGGCCGTATCCTTAACCCCGTACCGCACTGAACGTGCGCACACGCGGAGCCTCAGTTAGTCGTAGTGCTGTTTTATTCCATAATTGAATCCATGACTAAGACATCTTTCACCGATCCAAATACCAGTAGAAAACTTTTTAAGTTTTTTTTTTAAGAAACGTTATATTTTTTTATTCATAAATATTTTAAGCATTCCTACCTCTATGCTTTTAGGCTTTAGTAAAAATTATATTCATAATTGAATTAGATCTCAAATTATACTCAAAGTTCCTATTAGTCGTGATAATGCAGGTTGTTATGTAAAAAATATTAAAGTTTATATCATTTCAAGTTATGGTACCTGTACTGTTACGTTTTTAGTTATTTTTTCTGTTCATTAAAGTATCGAGTAAAATAAATGATTGTGATAAATAAATCAGGGTCAATTTTTTATAATTTAGCTTTTTTATGTACCTAAAATAAATAATAATATAAAATAAGAATTTACTGATTTTTTAAAGTTAACATTAACATAGTTCATTACTTATTATTGTTGTTAAAAATAGTTTTCGTTGATTGTGCACGACTTGGATAAACAAAAATAAATCTGGAACAAAAAAAATATTTTAATTATTATACCCCATCCCTAGCAATATGACTGTTGTATGCGCCACGGCAAGTATTTTCCCGTAAAATCAACCATTTCCAAAAATACCTGTAACTTTTAAGATATTACTTAGAACTCCGTGCGACTGCAGACCTGTATACACAAGGATGTAACCTATGTGTTGGTACAACAAAAAACATCAGCCGTGGACTTTCCATGTCTCTGTGGAGGTTTGAAGTCAGGACTACGTACGGGAAAATAGAAGTCGTAACGCATATCAGGCATTCTTGATACGGGAAGTATGTGACTTGTACAGCACTGGAAGTAAGTTTTAATCTAGCACAGCCGCAGTGAATGTGTTAATGAAAATTACTTTTTTCTTGTTTAGTTGATTATTATGTGAAGGTTTAACCACCGTTTTAAAAAAAATCGCTAGAAATTAATAATTCCAATGTTTTCAGAATGGAAAATGCGTGAACACAGAGGGTGATTACTACTGCCACTGCAATCCTCATTTTATCCCTAGTCCAGACAAGAAGTTTTGTATAGGTAATTATGACTTTCTCATTTTATGAATATATCTTTTTAATTGTATATTGTTTTGTAATTTGTTCTGACCTATTTAAATTAGGAAATATTTTAAGTATTTTGGAATCAGAGCTGCTTATTGCTGGGTATAGATAAAGGCAAATTAAACCTCTATTTTAGCAGTAACCTACTTCGTAATCGTATTATAGTGTATGGTTATTCCCACAGATGGCAGAGTGGGCAGCTGCTTCACATATATAAGCGAGACTGGCGAGTGTTCTGATCGTCTTTCGGTGCAGTTATCGAACCGCGACTGTTGCTGTGGGTTCAACATGGGTCGCGCTTGGGGAGAACTATGCGCGCCCTGCCCTCCGAGAGGCTCCAGTGAGTAAACACAAACTGAATTATAAATAAAGTTATGCCATTGTATATCCACGAGAAAAGTTCCTATTCCATACATAAGGGTTTTATCAAGTAGGAGACCCAAGATTTGACCTCACTGTTCGCCAGGTCCTAGTGGTTGCAGAGCCCTGTAGTGAGGCTTAAGGTGCATTTCCCCTTCGTTAACAGATAACGACTTTGTTCAATATGGGGCTTAGCGAGTTGTATTTGCCTTTGTAGTATTACTGCTGCGGTATGAATATATTGACACTAGGACACCATATCCCCAATAGGATTTGATGAGAATTCAATGAACAATTCAATGACTGAAATAGTAAAGCTTTGTGTTTGTTTGTAATGAGACGTTATATGTACCATTGCTCCAACTTAAAGACTAATAATTTAACTTCGTTTAGTGGAATGGTCCCACCTCTGTGGAGGTATACCGAACAAATGGCGCAGAAATAACACGGGAGGCATCGAAGAGGGCAGTATTGAAGAGTATGAGCCTCCATCCATAGCTAAAATTAACGAGTGCATGTTGCGGAGCGGCATATGCGGCCTCGGCGACTGCGTCGACAAGGACCCAGGGTAAGAGTCGATAGCTGCGTAAACACATACAAAATCCCGTTTTCATAATATGCGTAGACCAAAAATTTTTATAACTTTAATGTTTAGTTATTCCTTGAAATTATTAAAAGTTGTTAATTAAATTGAATTTTTTACAGTTACAATTGTAACTGCTGGGAAGGTGCTGAGAAGAACGAACGCGACGGAAATCCAATTTGTATTGACATTGACGAATGTGCACTCGGATATTGCAAGGGCGGTATTTGTACGAACAATTTTGGTTCCTTCGATTGTAGGTGAGAAATAATTTTTGTTAGTGAGCTTAACTGTAAAAGTAATTTTTCTTTATTTTTAATATCAACAATACGAGGCGATAGGAGCTGTCACACATTTTCTCATGTTTTAATATTTGATTATAAGGTGTCCACCTGGTTTCGATCCCGTCGACAATAACAGACGATGTAGTGACCAAAACGAGTGCGAGGTTACCCATGGTGCAATGTGCACTAACGGATTGTGCCGAGGTACCGCTACTGGGTAAGATATTTTGAATTTGTTCGTGCCCCATCCTCGGATTAAATTGTGGCCAAATACATGTGAACTCGTTTGTCCGTTAGTTACGAGTGCGTATGCAATCCCGGATACGAGTCGACGGAGACAGGACACGCTTGTCGAGATGTGGACGAGTGTCGCGAATCTGCTAACGTGTGTCGGCGCGGCCGTTGCCGCAACTTGCCCGGCTCCTACGACTGTCAATGCGACGTCGGATTCGAGTTTGTACCTGGGAGCTACTGTATCGACATCGATGAATGCGCTGACAAAAGCGTTTGTAAAGTAAGTTATAGGAGCTACGATTTCACGTATTGTTGCTATCGTTTCATGAATTGAATTAGATGAGTACTAGAAATTAATTATGATGAGTTTTAGATGGTATTGATGGATTATTAACACAACTATTTTGTAATGTGTATAGTGTTTGATTAATAAAAAACGTTTTATGTTAAATTTTTACCCTTTCTTCACCTACACACTTTACCTACTTTTCTGCGTAATTATAGTTACGGCATCCACGTATCCCGTAGGTGAAAGGTTTTTTATAACCGTTCCAATAGTTTTGGGGCCTATTCACTATAAACAATCAAATCTTTCCTCTTTACAATATTAGTGAAGACTATAAACTTTCGATAAATATATAAAAAATACTTTTCCCACAGCCAAGAATAGACAGTATAGCAAATTATATTTACAGTTTTGTATTCACTGTATCGTCGTTGTGCTATAGCTGTGACAATTTTACAAGTCGGCATACACTATACTCCTTGTTACATTTAGAACTTTTGTTGGTTTCGTTCTGTCATATAATGGAGAGATCATCACCTATGTGCAGGGCGGCAGGTGCGTGAACATCGAGGGTTCGTTCCAATGCGTGTGCGAGGCGGGGTACCGTCTGACGGCGGACCGCGGCGCTTGCGTGGACGTCGACGAGTGCTCGGAGCAGCGCGTGTGTCGCAACGGACGCTGCCACAACACGCCCGGCTCATTCCGCTGCGAGTGTCTGCCCGGCTTCACGCTCAGCGCCGATGGCAGAACGTGCCTCGGTAACTCACACTCTACACATAGAAATAACAATAATAAGCAAAATCTTATTTGACAATACTTAAGACATTTTGAAGTGACCTTGATATTACAGTATAATCGTAACTTTAGTTATGTTCTGAATGGATAATTTACTGAATTTCGCTTTGACAGATGAAGTTCAAGACTTGTGTTACGAGAAATATGAAGACGGACAGTGTTCTGGTCCTGGTAACAGTCCTGTTACCAGGTCTCAGTGTTGCTGTAGTTCCAGCAAAGGCGAGTATTGGTGGAGAGTAGTTTGTATGTTAAATTTTATTTTGTTTCTAATCACACTATTTATTTATTCTACGTCTTTAGGTCTTCATCTAGGCTGGGGTGTGTCCTGCAAACAATGTCCCTCGAGAGGATCTCCAGATTATGAGATCCTTTGTCCCGAAGGTCAAAGTAAAGACAACGGTGGTGCAGACATCAACGAGTGTAACGTTATTCCGGGTATCTGCCAACATGGCACCTGCGAGAACCTCGATCCCGGCTTCCGATGCATATGTGATCCAGGATTTCATTCAGATTCAGATGGAATCTGCAGGGATATAGACGAGTGCGATATGCACCAATCGGTAAGAACGTAATAAGTATATATTTTGAAGATATCGCCATGACTGGCGAAATGCTGTGTAGTGAACTTCAATAATATTCTAAGATTGTATTCAGTGATATTTTTTTTTCTAGTTATGCACAGGTGGCACATGCCGGAACACGATAGGAAGCTTCACGTGTGTATGCCCGCCTGGTACTCGGTACGAGCCTGATGAACAGATCTGCCGAGATATAGACGAATGCGATGGTGAGGTTATTTTCATCGTCTCGGACTACGAGCGGGGGGACATCCCCCCCTCGTTCCCAGTCAACGCAGGTTACGAATCTTTCTCTGGCAGAGCATCCATAGACTCATACTCATTTGGCTTGTAACATCTGGGTGCGATTCTAAGCTAACAGGAGGCTTCTTTTCGAAAAAAAATTAAATATACCTACTTCAAGAAAATTATGAGTCTAATACACTACAGGTAAAAAAACCAGAAGCGCATCTGTGTCATAACTGGTGTTTCCATCCATCTAGTATGACTTGCGTTTTGAATGAAGTGTATATTATTTGTTCGCTGTAGAAACCTTAACAATCTTTTATATTATTGATAGCATTAGCTGCATCATTATTTGTACATTCACTCGGCTAGATAAATTCACTATCATTTACTTTAAAGATTGTTTGGACAGCCTCTATATAGTGAGAACCACCCTAGCCAATTGACCAATGTTATGACCATCAATTAATAGCCCTGCGTCATATAACATGTTGACTTTTGGGTCATAAAGCCTCTTTTTCAAATTAATTACCAGTAATAATTATTTAAATCTGCGTTTAAATATAATTAAATGCACGCAAATCGAATCATTGCACTGCTTTTACAACTTATTTCAATTTAACTTGACTAATTATCGAATTAATCAAATAAAATTTAATTTTAATGTAATTAAATTGAAGTTCAATATGAAAGCGAAATGTTCTACACAATATTTTTTTTTTTAATATTTTTCGTAATTAGTTTGTTTTGATTTCATGAAATATATTTCACGTTGAGAGATATTGCAGAACAATCAAACCCGTGTGACAACGGCCGCTGCATCAACACGCATGGAAGCTACGAATGCGAGTGCGAACACGGATTCGTTTTGGACGCCACCGCTCAACACTGTATTGGTATGTTACTGAACTGCAACAATAGGTATATGTTAGAGAGTTTTTACAGTAAACGGCTTACACCCGGTTTCTGAATGGAGTGTTTAAAGTAAAGCATCATACCAGTTGATAGCCGTTTTATGAAACTAGGACTTTTTTAAAAGTGAAAAGTCGGCCGTTAGCACAACTCAGTAGTGCATTAGACAAATTGCTTAGCGACGAACCATGGACTATATACAAAAAAGGGATTATCTAGTACATAGTACATCAAGGAGGTCTAGTACATAGCTCGCTCTTAGGTTCGTTGCGGACGACTGCAGAAGCAGCCAAAACTGCTTAAACGTGACCTTTCGAAACGTGGCGAAAATAGAGATAATAAATTTTTGGTCATCCACTCGATAACCACCACCAACCATTACTCAGAACTTTTTTTACGGTTATCAAAACGCACAAAATGCTTGAGTCAAGTACGTATTTTTGCGGACTAGCATTTTCCGCTATAATTTGATTTAATTGATACTAAGCGATAATTGATATTAAGCGTAAGCCACCTACTAAAAAACTTTTTGTTATTTATGATAAATTATGAAATAAACAACAAAAACAGTGACATCGTATAACTTGAACAACAAACATCAAATTGTTTTAATTACTACGTTTGGTGGCAGTCTTAAGTTACGTATTAATTTTGATATAAACTTATCTGTCAAATATGTACTATGTTTTTGGTGTGCTAGATAATCGTCGCGGATCGTGTTGGCGGCGCGTGGTGGACGGTCAGTGCGAGGGCGCAGCGCCGCGTCCGCTGCTGCGGCAGGAGTGCTGCTGCTCTGTAGGACTCGCCTGGGGCTCACCCTGTGAGCCCTGCGACCTGGAACACTGCCCCTGCCCTAAAGGCTTCGCTAAGGTAACTTAAAAATTTAACAGTGCATTTTATTATAGGTATAAATAGGCAAATCAAGTTTTTTGTCAGGTAAATCAATAAATCGACCTGACAGACTCCGTGTCGGATCCCAGGTCCTTCCCCTTGGCATAACGGTTGCATTTCCCCTAAGTTAAAAAAAAATATGAATCTAATTCTAGCTGGAAAACGAATGTGAGATGAATCTGTTTTGATCTATCAATAATCTGGTTATTATCTTCGCGCAGGATCCTTTGCGGGGTTATAATGCAAAACTAAGTCTATAATTTATTCTTAATACAAAATGCTTAAAAAATCCACTTGGTCCCTTTTTTAAACATTTTGTGTTAAGAATAAATTTCAGTATGGCATTGTAAATGCAAAATTAATCAAAAAATAATAAGTCTATAATATTTACAGAATTATATCTTTCTTCTAAATTTACAGTTGGATGGTGTTAACTGCCGCGACGTGGATGAATGTGCCCTCGATTCAGATTTGTGTATCGGTGGCTCGTGCGTCAACACCGACGGCTCTTACCGGTGTGAGTGCCCCTCTGGTCTGACCCTGGATCCCACTGGTAAGGATAATTTAGAAGCAGAATTGAAATTCATATAAACATCATAGTGACTGCATAGTGATGCAGTTATTTTCAAGATACACCTTACAGTGTTGTTGCAATAGCTATAGATTTATCAAAACTATCAATTTCTCATTATATGTTATCGATGGTAGTAGTTCAATTCTATTGCTATTATCAATCTATAAAAATATTTACCGATTGGTATCACGATATTTTCGATAGGATATCACTCTAAGGTTTTCATTGCAGTGAGGTTTACTATAGTAACAAATATTTAATATACCTACGTAATGATGTTAGACTGAATATTGCCGCATAACTATTTATGCATTAGGGTTTTCATTTGTCTTCATTCCTACTTTGATTGCTATCCTAGTATATTTAACTCTATTCAAAGATTGGTAATTGATTTTGAGAATATATGTATGTATAAATAAATCAATTTTTTATTTGTTGACGTAAGTTAAACGTATGGTAACATGACGCAGGCAATCGTTGCGTGGACACTCGTCACGAAATGTGCTATACAGAGTACATGGGCGGTCGATGCACGGGCCCGTTGCGGCCAGTGTTGCGCGCCGTCTGTTGCTGCTCTGCCCTCGGCCACGCCTGGGGGGACTCGCGCTGTGAACCCTGCCCTAAGAAAGGTATTAATAATAATGAAGGTCCCTAGTTAAGTTCTCCTTTAGATATTGCGGTAGCCAAAGAACAACTCGCTTATGTGTTGAAGCTTTGAAACGATTGTGTATTGAAATACAAATAAAGAAGCAAATTGTTTGTATTCGCTTAAATAAGAGACAAGCCTGGAACACCAATCCAATCCTGCAGTCTCTAGAATTTTCTGGACTATTAGACTAAATAACCGGCTAAGGGCTTTATACTAGTCATTGATGATTTGGTATCCATTTGGTATTTTTTAGACTGTCCCTGTGAATTCACTTAAAAGTTTTTAAAATGCAATTAAACTGTGTTATATGAGTATTTTCAAGTAGTTTTCGTGTTCAGGCTTTATCGAATTCATACGATCTTCATCCCTCAGGTACGGATGCGTTCCGCAACTTATGTATGTTGGGCACGGTGGACGGCCCGTTCGGGACGTGGGATCGACCGTGGGATGGCAGCGGAAACATGACCGACATCTGGGACCACATGAGGCCCATCGGACCACATGACGGCGGTGGTGGGCCTGACGATGATGGCTCCTGGCCCGGCACTGGATGGCCCCCGGGCACTAATACCGATAATAACGTGGTGCCGAAGGAGATGGACGTCAATGAGTGCTCGGCGTTCCCCGGTCTCTGTGGTCATGGACGATGCAGGAATATGATGGGCACTTTTGTTTGTGATTGCTTCCCTGGATATGAACCGGTTAGAATTTGATGATTACTTTACTATAATCTCAGCACAATAGTTTAACCTTTACATATAATATGTTGAGTTATAATTAAATCGAGTAATTTAAATATATTAAGAACTCTTACAAATTAAAATTAAAAAAAAGAATCAAAATAATGACGTCATTATGCAATTACTTTTTTATATAGGATTCGAAGAATCATACTTGCGTAGATGTGAACGAATGCGAAATCGTGTCTGATGTGTGCGGCGCCGGTGAATGTCGCAATAACGAAGGCAGCTTTTCCTGCCACTGCCGTCCAGGACACAGGGCCGACGAAATATCCAAGGTTTGCGTCGGTAAGTCTATTGCTTGCTTTGTAAGCTGGCATGTTTATATATTTCAAATGTGCCAGAACAATTGGCTTATTATAGCAAAAATATAATACTACGAATGCTTTGAATGTAATAAAGTGATACGACAGTGACATTATTGTGTGACATCTTCATTGGCGTGGAAATTTACCTTTTGAGTCACATGTTGTCACATGGTCAAAGCTAATTTCTATGAATGTGATCGTATACTAATAAAACGTTCAAGTGGATTGTGGTTTCAGCTTTATATTATGAAAGATATTTTCTCAAAATGAATAGTGATGATGAAATGGATGATGGCTTTTTAGATATCAATGAATGCGTCGAAGACAGGGGATTATGTCGGGGAGGCCGTTGCGTGAATACACCGGGTTCTTTTCGCTGCGAGTGCGCACCGGGAATGGAACTCGCACCTGACCGCTTTTCATGCAAGGATATCGATGAATGTTCTATCACCTCAGGTATTTTATAAGAAAACTCAATTTTTGTAAAAATTTTACTGGTGAATTATGCTCATAAAAATAAATTCTAATTCCAAATAGCAGAATATACGTACTCGTAATAGAAAGAGCTATAGAATATAATTATGCGTCTTATATTATTTACTGTGGTTTTCATAGAACTATTTATTTAATTATTCTTAGGAATATGCAGTAATGGTGCTTGCGAAAATCAAATGGGAACGTATCAGTGTGTCTGCGATGAAGGTTACGCACAGTTGACGGTCAAATCTCACTGTGAGGATATCGACGAATGCGCCGAAGACCCGACCCGCTGCCAGCATGACTGTGTCAACACACCTGGCTCTTACCATTGCAGTTGCAAGTGAGTATTTTTTATTTCGTAATGATCAGAACAATACGGGGAGCTCGTCAGCACAAAGGTGTTTAATTGTAAGGTAAATAAAGCAACTTTGCCGTCTGAGTGTTAAAACGGGTGACTAAATTTTATATTCGGGATCTCCTAGAAACGCCCAGTATGGGCGTTTCTAGAAGTATATCGAGCCGTTGATTCTGTTAATAACACTTTATTTTTCGCTGATCGATAATAACTCGTTGATGGGATGTGAAAAAAAGTTTCAAGGGGTCGTTATCTGAAGGCCCTTGTTCGATTCTTAGTCGGGTCAATGTGGAAAATTAACTTTTCTATATTGCTTCGGGTATGGGTATTGTGGTAACTTCGTTGTCTCAGATACTTCATAACAGGCTTTAGTTACTCATCTTGGAATCTGAGCAGTGTATGAATGTGATGTTGTTTAATTTGGCTTATACATATTGGCTTCTTGGTTTGCAGGGAGGGTTGGCAGTTACGCGCAGACGGGCGCACTTGCCGCGACGTGGACGAGTGTGGCAGCGGGGCACGGCCCTGCGGCGGCGGGGAGTGTCGCAACACGCCCGGTGGATACTCCTGCGTGTGTGGGGAGGGACTACTGCCAGTGGAGGGCGACCGACCCACCTGCCGGGACATTGACGAGTGCGCTGATGTATGTAATCAGACTTTACTAGGCACTCTGCCTATTTGTTATCTAGGTTAGCCATCGTTTGACCAATCACTGATTTAAGGCCCGATTTAGCGACGGCTCAATGAAACTTGGCGCCCTAGGCAATACCCAGGAATGACTTTCATAAAAATCATAACAAAATAAAAAACTATTATATGAACACCGATTAAAGAGTGCAATTTTGCCAATGACAAAAGAAATTACTGAATACCGCGGACATGGACGTATGTTTAAAGAACAAAAGTCTATTTTTAAGGTGCAAATAATAAGAGCAAACATATGCAATGTTTGCCATGTCTGCTGCCTCCCAAATACGAGCGTCCTAGGTAGTTGTCTAGTTTGCCTATATGGACGAGCCGTCCCTGGCCCGATTCAAATTTTAGCTAGGGCTGCTTCGGCATATTTTGAAAGATTGTTCAGCTGGTCAACATTTGGTGGATGGCGTTACACTGTGATTTGCTCCGTTAATGCACATGCAGGGTGTTATACATTTAAATTAAAGTGCTGCTATCCGAAACTTGACATCCGTAGATTAGATAATTTTGGCTATTAAAGTGCTGTTTATTATGTTTACATTGTATAGTCATAGTTTTCTATTATTTTTTGTTTTAATATTGTAATGGAAAGTGACCTCATAGTCGAACAAATAAGTTGTTATTTATAGAATATAATTAATTCTATTGTTAGTATTGATTTGATAATGGCATGTTTTTTTTACCATCTTACTTCTGTTAGAGCTGGTGCAGATGCCGGTGCTTTAACTCGTTCTTCTTATCTGCTTCTTATCAGCCAAAAGATATCTTTTAAATACGTAACTAGTGGTAGGTGAAAAATGTTATGAGATCCAAGATAACTTATTAGTTTATTTGATCAATAGAATTTTGTCTATGAATGACTTTCATACAATTTACGTAGGTATCGGTCCGTTATTAAACTAGTTAGTGTGCTACTAATAGGTTTTATTGTGTAGTGAGTTTCGGTTCTGTGATCACATGGATATTCCGTGACCATCGACCGTACCGTCCTCCATGACCGTCGACCGTAGAAAAATTATATTTACGTGAAATAGTAAAGTGTGTTTTGTAACGGGACAGATTCGCGAGCTGTGCGGCGCCGGGCAGTGTCAGAACACAATCGGCAGTTTTGTGTGCCGTTGCCCAGATGGGTACAGTGTGAAACCTGAGCAGGGCCCCGCATGTACTGACGACGACGAGTGTGAGCTCGGTACCTGTGACTGCCATCCCGCCGCCGACTGTATCAATTTACCCGTGAGTATACATGATACACAGAAATAGACGTAAACAAAACCCTGCAGATATACCTACTAAGCTGTCTATGAGTGATCAAAATGATTATACGTACCTATTAATTAAGGCACGCGGCAGCATGTCAAGCCAAGCAAGTTCAAGCAAAGAACTGGCACCGTAGCAGCACCATGTGTAATATTACACGAAGCATTTGGAGCTACTTTTCACCCCTTCATAATGTTAACTAGGAAAATAACTATTTGTCAGAGTAGTATCTTATAATATTTTAAAAGATAATTAACAAATTGTGAATAAAATAAAGATGATAAATTTTTTACCGACGTATGTGAAAATCAGACAAGTAGATTTTGAGATGCTATAGATTTTAAATTGTTTGCTTTATTTTACTAAAGAAAAACGATTTCAATAAATAAATTTCTGAATTTCCAACTCAACTTGGCACTCATTTAGATACCAATACTTTTGTCGGTGAAGCCTACAATTACACCATATTAAGCTTGGATACATTTAACTTGGCTATCAAATTTCACATTTATGTTTTGTGGGATTTATATATAGTTGCTAAAATCGCAAATTCAGTAGATTCGTTGACTTGCGTTTGTTAGGGTTCATTCCAATGTCGTTGTCGGGATGGGTGGCGTGGCGACGGCTCGGAGTGCGAGGACGTAGATGAATGCGTCACCAACAATGGCGGCTGCCACCCGCGCGCCACCTGCCGGAACACTGACGGGTCCTTCGTATGTTTATGTGACACCGGATACAAAGGCGATGGGTAACACTATTTTCCTTTATCACTCATTATGCTTTCATTTTATTAAAGACACCGATGCGATTTAACTTTTCATGATTAATGTTTTTGATCAAAGTTGCTTCAAAACGGGAAATATTTTCCTGCAATGTTGCGGACATTGCAGTAAATGCCAGCCAGATTGTACAATATTGCAGTTCATATACCGGCCAAAAATTTTGGTAAAATCTATATTGTTAAAAAAAATCTGGGATGGCTTTGCAATAAGTTGCCCATAGTGCAGCCACTAATTACAGAAAAATATTGCCCATTTAGAAGCCTTGTAACAGAAAATTTTAAAACATAAAAAATATACCAACCTGTTTTGAAAAAGTTAAACCTAAAAAGTATTTTATAAGTATTACCAGGTTACTTAATAACAATATTTTTGTGTTGATAACTATTTTTCTGCACGTGTACAACGTCTGGTACGCATCTTCAGAATATATTAGACCTTACAGTGCCGACCAATGAGTGAGCGCAGAGGTGACGTCATAAATTGTCTTGTGTGTGTCTGTGAAAAAGTAAGAGAAAGTTTGATGACTTCAAGCCTGGAAGTCTAAGTTGGGAATACAAAAAGATTAAATACCTCAGTATTTAACTCGTTACTAAATACGGTAGTCTCTTAGTTATAAACCTAAAAAAATATGTGTGATAAGATGTTCATTGAAAGTCTTGGATAATATTGTTTAGCAAACTGTTGACATTTCAATGTAACCATCAGGTATTCTTGCGTGGACATAGACGAGTGTGCGAACGACCCGACCCTGTGTGAGAACGGTCACTGCTCGAACACGCCCGGCGGGTACGTCTGCGACTGTGACGTCGGCTTCACCAAGACGCCCGATGAAAAAGCTTGCCTCGGTAAATTAATGCTGGACATAATGTTTTACTTACACATGTCTATAACCCTAATAACTATAATTGTACGTATATAATTCTGTTGGCACTTTTTCTATTCTTCTTCTACATGAATATGGAATAAACAAGTATGTAATAATATTCCATGGGTCATGTTCCAAGTAAAGAAGTCGGTGGTGTGTAATTGGAAATTTCTTCAACGGAGTTTCTTTAAATAATTGACTTATTTAGAGAAACTCCCTTGACGAAATTCCCAATTATGTATTATTTTAATGATGAAACCTTTATTTACAGATATGGACGAGTGCGCGACGTTCGACAATGTCTGTGTATTCGGTAGATGCGTCAACACATACGGCATGTTTAAGTGTATCTGTGATAAAGGATATCAATCGGATAATGTAGATGAATGTAAGTATTCTGACGAGCTTGTTATTTTCAAAATTACATTTGCTATTTTATTTTGTATTGCATTTGTTGTCAATGAGGACGCAACAATGTGAGTATAAAACGCAGCAAAATAAAAGTCAAACCGATGAAAGATTCCCAAAATAAAATAGATTTCGTGAAGGCATTTCACAGTATTTAATAAATGTTTTAGGCGTTTTTCTTAATAATTATTCATCAACCTTCGTATTATTATTTTGTAGTGATGCCTGGGTTTAACTGTACGGACGTGGATGAGTGCAAGTCACCGCAATCATGTCAGTACGGCGAGTGTATCAACACTCAGGGCTCGTACATCTGTCGCTGTCCTCCCAACTATGAGCTTGTCTCTGATGGAACTGCTTGTTATGGTAATTGCACTGTATTTATTTTTTAGATAAGTAGATAGAAATATACGTTAGGTTAGGTTTCCAGAATTAGACGCTCTAATCGATCCATTGAGCGTTGGTGTAGAAAGATAAGTTACTTGGTAAACTATTGATTGAGTGTTTCCTACATGTATCTTTCCCTCCTTATAGATGAAATTGGTGTATTAATTTTGAAGAGGTTAATAATCATTTGTCTTTTTCGTTGTTTTTTTTTTTAAATAAGCTTTAGGGAGATTTTGTTTAAGTACGCAATTTCCGTTACAACTTTTAAAATAAATTTTTACTATACAGAAATGCGAAATAAACAACCCAAAGATTTTGAAATAAAATTTTAATCCTCAGATTCAAGAAAAGCTCGCTGCTACGGCAATGTGGACCTGCGTTCGGGCACTGAGCGCTGCCACGACAGGGACGAACTATCCGAAGATGGCACTATGGCGGCATGTTGCTGTTCTGTCGGTTCGTTTGTTTTTAATAATTCCTATTTGGAGTTTTGTGTCCTCCTATGTTGATTTTTTTAATCTATTTCACGACTCTCACCATTTTAATATTATCGTAAATCTTAAGTTTTTTTTTTGTTTATACGAAATATAATTATGGTATTTAAAGAGCTGTTTTCTTTGGTATGTACAGGTGCTGCATGGGGCAACTACTGCGACCTCTGTCCTGAACCAGGGACGGAAGAGTATCGGCAGCTTTGTCCCGGAGGGCCCGGATACCAACCTGTTTTGGAGCCTGTAAGATGTCTATTAAATATCAGCAACAATTAAGCCTCTATCCATGTCATAATTCATCTTACGTATTTCTAACCATGGCAGAAGATTTGATAAAACGTATTATTTTTACAACTTTGATATTTTTTGTATTGTTACATTTAATTTCTCGTGACAGCCTTCATATGTCGTGACGTTAGCTGACATTGATGAGTGCGAACAGCACCCCGCTCTATGCGAGCATGGGACATGTACGAATACGTTTGGGTCGTTCGTGTGCACATGCGGCGACGGGTGGGCGTTATCTGAAGATGAACAGCGCTGTGTGGACATCGATGAGTGCGCCGTCCCCGAGGTGTGTGGCCCGGGAGTATGCCGGAACATGCCCGGTTCATACGTGTGCCTGTGTCCCGAGGGATACGTGCCGATGCCTAGTAATAGTGAGTTTACGTTTATTTATTATCTATGTCTTAAGAATACGAGATAGAAGATAGTTATTGTCAGGTAATCATTATTTACGGGTTTTGTGATGTCTAAGTTAAAAATACTACGTTGGAACTGTCAAAATTTTTTATTAAAATAGACAAGATTCGCTTTAATATTTATGCTATTGTATTTTGCATGATTAAAGAAGTTAAATAGAGTATAGTGTTTTAAATAGAATGTCTTTAAAATATGCTTTATATTAATCATTTGGATACTCTTTTTGGATATAGACGCTACAAGTAGTTTCATGCGGTGAAGACTTCTGCGGGAATCAAAACTACATTGACCATTTAATTTGTTCTGTAGAGGAATGCGTGGATATCCGTCAGCGGCAATGCTACTTGGAATGGGACGAGGAGACGGGCAAGTGTTCGAACGCCGCTGGTGCGCCGCAGACGCGGCACGTGTGCTGCTGCTCGGCGGGGCGGGCGTGGGGCGCGCCGTGCGAGCGCTGCCCCGCGCCCGGCGCGCCTGACCACGTGGCGCTGTGCGGCGCGCGCCCCGGACAGTACATCAACCCCGTCACCAACGAGACTAGGCACATCAACGAATGCGAGATCATGCCGCAGCTGTGCAAGCCAGGCACTTGCCACGACACCGCCTCCGGGTTCACGTGTGGCTGTGACCACGGGTGAGTATGACAAATCTTACGCCGTGATGTACACAATGCGAATGCAAACGGAGTTGTCAACTTTGGAGATTGTGCCTTTGGAGAAACAAAATTCGTGACGTTTGGATAGTCATCGAAAATCCAACCCTGAATGCGAAACATCTGCGTCTGTGTAACGACGTTAATCGCTGTTGACTGCGAAACCATACTGACATGAACACAGTAATTTCATCGAGCTAATAATAGAGCGAAACAAAGCACATGCGAAATGTTGCCATACAACTGACAAGATTACGCTAATGTACATAAACGCCAAGAGTAATGTGAAAATATGCAAATGAAGATGCGAGTAAGATGCTCTCTAGGCGAAGTAAAAAACAATCCCCTCTTCCATACTCTTCGAAATTCGCATTTGGTATATTCGATAGAGACTATATTTCGAATGTGTACTAATTCTAAGAAGGGTGAAGTTTGTATATTCGTACATCTGAGAAAAACAATCCGAGTAAAAACTAAAAGTAAAAAACGAATTCTTTTCCATACTATCATGAATAATATCGATTCGTGCTTTTATTGTTTTTGACTTCTGTAATAAAAGAGCAGATAAATTACTGTAGATTTAAAGACGAAAAATTCAATATTATAATTTCATCCGATAGTTACGAGCACGACAACACATCACACCTGTGTCGCGACATCGACGAGTGCGCTCTTGGTCGATCCCGTTGCCGAGGCATGGCGCAGTGCGTGAATCTGCCCGGCTCGTACGAGTGCCGTTGCCCACCCGGGTACAAGCTGATGGCCGACATCGAGGAGTGTGAAGACATCGATGAGTGCGCCGACAAGCGACTTTGCGAGCATGGCGACTGCAGGAACACAGTCGGTTCCTTCAGGTAAGGTTATAGTTATGTACAACACTCCTGTCGCGTCACTAATGACGTTCAACTTTTTTAGATTTATAATTTTAAATTACACTTACAATGTCAGCATGATCCAGTTGTAGTATCATCGTAACTAACAAATTTTTAGGTACACACAACTGCAGGTCAAACGTATACAGGATGAACTTGAAAACATTTGCAGTTTCGATTCTGAATCTGCACGATTGAGACAAATAGTTACAGTCGTTTCCGGTTTTATCGTTTGGCATGGATGAATTGAAATTAATGGATAGAAATGAGATAGCATGTGCAAACTATTCAATGAATGAATTTTCAGAAACTACTGGAACGAATTGTTTTTTTTTGTTGAATAATCCATCTATCCAGAAAGGCTATAGGCTATGTAATGTCACGTTATGGTTTATTATAGGAGTAAAACAGCAATGAAAAATGGTGTAAAAACGGGAGAATATTTTACTTTTCTAAAGTTTTCCTTGCGTAAGCTGCGTAAACGGTGAAAGTTACGCAATTAAAAAAAAAACAAAAAATATATTTCTACAAGTACTAATCAAAAATTTAATGGGGTTATTATTAATAGAGTGAAAAAAATAAATGTTACATTTAGCTGTCGCTACTGATGATTCGATGATGTTACTGTACTTTCAAACGGGATTTTGAATTATGTTATGTTTGTAATCTTTTTTCCAATTTTTATAAAACAAAGTAGTTTTCGTTTTCAATTTTGTGATTTTTCCGAAAACAAAATTTAATAGGAACTTGTTAATCAGGTGAAAAAATATAAAAATACAATTAGCTGTTTCGCTAGATGACGCTACTGTATTATTAGAATGTGGTTTTGATTTCTTTAATGCTTGTCGTCTTTATTGTATTCCGATTTTTAAGCTTGTGGTTTTATATAATTTAAACTTAAATTGATATTTAAACTCAAACTCCTCAAGAGTTGATTTGAAGTTTGAACTTTCGGAAAGGGAATCGAACCAAGACTTCGGAGATGATGAAACATTTTATTTATTGGCAAATTTTTTCTAACACTGATTACTATATCATTGCTATAGATATGTATAATGGGTAGCTTGACGTGCAGCCGTGTGTACTATCTCTCTTGCATTATTTTTAGTACCTATTACCTTTTTTTTTGTATGATAAGGGAATAAGTAATGCAGAATGTATTGAAGCTGCTGGTAGTCACCATCTGATTTTTTACAAAACAGATTTATAATATTTTACTATTTTATCTAGGTGCGATTGCCAGCCTGGGTACACTTTACGCGACAACGTATGCCGTGATGTGGATGAATGTGCGCGTCCACGGCCCATGTGCCGAAACGGCACTTGCGAGAATCTGCCCGGCTCTTACACCTGCCACTGCGACGCAGGCTTCAAGCCTGGTCCCAATAATGATTGCATTGGTATAACTTTTCATATATGACATAAATGATCAGTCGTTTTATTTTTTGTGAACATTCAATCAAAAAATCTCATTTCCTCTATTTATATTTTATTACATGTTCCAATAAAGTTGCAGATCCAGTTATTAGTGGATGTAATGTTACAATTCAATTTTGGTACATACGTGAAAATCCTGAAAATCTTTAAGGTCGTTGTGACCTTTTACAATATAAATTGAAATTTGAATTCATAATGTTATATAATTCTTTTTGTTGGTTCTAGACATCAACGAGTGTCGGGATGGTGGCATAGTGTGTCGCAACGGACGTTGCCGCAACACCGTGGGTTCATTTAGGTGCGAGTGCGTGGCCGGATACACGTTGACTGGCGACGGCCGCAACTGCCGCGATATCGATGAGTGCACCGAGCTGCCTTACCCTTGTGGACGAGATGGATCGCCTTCATGCACTAACACCAACGGAGGGTATGTCTGATTTTACTTTAGCATCATACAAGATTGTAATAAGGGTCGCCTTCTTGGAGCTACAATGATAATTTAACAAAGGATGTGAATTCTTTTTGTATATGATCGAGCAAATATTTTTTTCAATCCATTTCAGTTTATTTTGTACTTTCAATAGTGATTAGAACATAAATATTGCCATTATTAAATAGTATTCTCACCAGCTAAAAGTAGAAAAATTTTGTTTTATCTTCCGAAGCCCAACAATCTTAGGTTTGATTTAAGTTATAACAAGAAATATAGGTGCTCTCTTTGATGGATCGGTGTTATTTACATGAAGCCAAGTAATCTTTTTTTTTTATTGGGCTAAGTATATTCTTTAATATAATATATTCTGAAGTATTACTTCAATATTATCAGTTATGTATAAGTGGATTACGTTATTTAAGTTTTATCATTCAACAGATACGAATGCTCATGTGGCGAAGGATGGCGTCTTCATGGAAGAAAATGTGAAGATAAAGATGAGTGCAAAGAGCTGCCGTACGCGTGTGCTGGCGGTGAATGTCACAACTTTAATGGCTAGTGAGTTCAAAATCAATTAATTTGGCACACTAACTGCTATTATTACATAAAGAAACATGAAATAGCGCGAGATAATAAAGGTCTCTGTCGCCTTTGATAAAGACGCTTAAGGTCTGCATTCGTGGACATTTTCGTTACACAGCACTTTTGAATTCATCCTACTTAAATCAAATCAAGCCTCGAAACTTGGTTATTATGGTAAAACAGATTTTTATTAAGTGTTTTCTACCCTGTAGGAAGGATAAACAATAATTAATGGAAATAATGTAGAGAAATTAAATACAACAATTGTCCTGCTCAACCAATAATGTTTTTGTTATGTAATGGTATAGACTTCTTAATGCTCCATAGACTACATAATAATTTTTCAACTGTATCATGTATGTTATGTTAAAGTCGCCTGGAAGAAATTGCTTTTTTGCAATAAGGCCGCCAATTGTACTGTTCTGTTACATCATTATGTATTTTTCATTTAATTATGGTGTGTACAATAAAGAGTCTTTCATTCATTCATTGATGCATTCATTAATTCATAAGTATTAGAATTAAAAAGATAAAAAGAGAGAAAAAGAATGTTGCCATAACTAAGGTATAAAATTTGGCTCACTCGAAAAGAATAAGAAATAACATTTATAACATAAAAGAATAGCAATGCATCTATGTGAGGGGAAACTCAGCGAAGAAACTGTGTGCTGATTTTGTTTGCTTCAGTAAGTGACGTTGAGCGTATGTGTTTAGTTACAAGTGCGACTGTCCGGCCGGCTGGAGGTTCGATAAGGCGGCGGCGGTGTGCGTGGACGAGCGGACGGAGATGTGCTACGACGAGTACGCGAGCGGCCGTTGTCACCGCGCGCGTCCCCTGCGGCTTTCACGACCCGAGTGCTGCTGCTCAGAAGGTAGGACCGGTGTGGATACAATGTCAATGCTCACGATCTTAATATACTAGTCACGTCACACCTTCACCTTTGTCTAGGCCGATTGGTCCAGGAATTATTCAATGTAAAAATTATGGTCAGGGCGTCATATATTTTATAAACATCTCCTTTGGAATGCACTATACCGATGATCATGAACGAGGTATAGTCCGACACGTATTTGACTGGTTAACGGATGGCTGTGATATAGGCGGGAAATGCGCTTTAGTAAGTGAGTTATAGTTGTAATCTCCCGCCTCTTTTTTGTGTAGAGAGACCCATCTTAACCACTCCGTTCGAACCGAACCCTGATTAAAATTGGAATTTGTCGCCCCCATAAACACAGGCTCGAATCAAGGGGAGGGCAAGTGGGGGCACTATTAGGGGCTCGTATTAGATTGGCGCCAAAATCATCATTATAGAGGTATAATACCTATTTACACTTATAAAAAGAGCATCCTCATGTAAATTATAGGGTACGATGGGACGGACATGTTTTAAAATAAATTTAAATAGAGATGAAGGTTGGCATATACCACATGCTTGGGATCTAGTAATTAGTCAAATAAAACCTCAATAAATAAAACCTCAAAAAAAAAAACAAAAACAAAAGATACAGTTACTTCATTCTGTAAATATTGAATCAAAGGGAGCAATTCTTTTTAATTAAATAGACAATCACTACCTTAGTCTTATGTGAACACGGAACTTGTAAAGGGTCCGAAACGTTTAAAACTAAATACAAACGTGATGAAACCGTTAAGAAGTTGTTTCATTTAATACATGTTTTATTATAAAATCCAGCTTCAAAGAGCGTAGGGAGGGGGGTGGGGGTAGAGGAAGGGAGCTGTACGAAGTTTTTGTCCCGGTTAAAAAATATGGTATGGCAAACATGAGGGTGGCATGCCCGGGTGTACTGTTTCGCACACCATCAGGTGTAAAATTACTTACCTTTATTTTAGGATATTGGAAACGTTTGTTAATATTGATCAAATATAACAATAAAGTTTTTTTTTATTTGTATCCGTCAAAAACGCAGTGACGTAGTGGTCCGTCATAAAACATTATTTCATTGGTATTGAGAAAAGAAGTAATAAAATGCTGTGATTATTAGGTGCAGCATGGGGTACTTATTGCGAGCGTTGCCCACCGCCTGAATCACCAGAATTCCACCGTATCTGCCAAGGTGGAATGGGACGTCCCAATTTTACACAGGTAGGACACATTGGTTTTTATAAGTTATTATTCATGCGATAATTTAGTTATATTTTTTTTTATGGTTGAATCTCTCGAGGTTTCCCAGCGGACACCTCGCGAATCTCTCCTCCCGTCGGTAATAAGAGCTCCGAATAAAAAAAATGAAACTTGAGATTACTCGCGTTTCCTTTACAGCTAATTTGGCCCTTATCTATTGTGCCAATTTAATAAGGTAAATGTGTAAAAATGTAAGTTGGTCTCGGCGATCTGAAGATGGACGTGCAACATACAAATAAATGTTAAAAATTCATGGGAGCAAAATTGGAATCGTGTCGTGAAAGTGTCGTGTAACATCGAACACTACGTCTCTCTTCTGGCACTTGACTTTCTTAAGTTAGCCATTTCTTTTGTTTGTAGCCCAATTCCATTTTTTTCTTGCTCTAATATTATCATACAATACCCCTATTTAGGACCTGGATGAGTGCAAAGTTCGTCCAGACGTGTGTCGCGACGGTCACTGTGTGAACACGGACGGTTCGTTCCGCTGTGAATGTAGTGAAGGTTATGTGTTGGATTCGACTGGTCTCGCCTGTGAGGATGCAAATGAGTGTGCTGCTGACCCACGCATATGCGGCAACGGAACATGCACTAACGTAGACGGTGGTTACCAGTGCACCTGTAACCTGGGCTTTACAGAGGGACCTGATCATGTGAGTACTGCTTGTTAATACATTTTAATGCATATTTTAATAATCCTAGCTTTAAATAAAGTTGATATTGTATTAATCAATTATGCCAATTGGTTACTCACTAGATAATTTTTGAACTACATATTTGAACATACCTTACTTATTTAATATAAATTCTTAATGAAAAATGCTTAAAAAATACATTTTGTCATTGGCACTTTGAGATGGGAGTGACAGGGACAAAGTGGATTTATTAAGTATTTTTCATTAAAATTATTCATAGCGAAAGGTTTTATTTTTTTTTTTAGTTATAAGTACTGTTAGTATGAAACGTAAATTATCAATATTGGCCTTTCTTCTATTGTTCAATCAACATGTGAGCTACCCGAAGTAGTCTATAATTGTGATCCTGTTAGGTTACATCTCGCAAGTTATTATGAAAAATAATTATGAATCTGTCTTTGTACAGGCGTATTGTTTTATTCCTAACAAGACGAATGTCATTTTTGTGTTTTTCCATTCTTTGCAATGGTTCTTAAAGACTTTTGCAATAGTTACATGTATTTATTGTAATGGTAGACTTGCGTGGACATCGACGAGTGTGCGGAGGGGCGGGCGACGTGCTCGTTCCGTTGTCACAACACGCTCGGCTCGTTCCGGTGCACGTGTCCATACGGGTACGCGGTGGCTGCCGACGGCATACACTGTCGCGACATCGACGAGTGCGCCGCTGAGGTGCCGCCCTGTCCTCACGCCTGCGAGAATATAGTCGGATCTTACATCTGCAAATGCCCTGACGGTAAACTTGTCCTTTCTTGGTCGTTATAGTACTGGAATTCAAAATTTTGTCTTTTGTTAGTACTGTTCTAAAGGTAAAAGTGTATGACTAGGCTGCTTGTACTCTTGAATTTCTTATACTGCGTCTGTAGGCTGTTTTTTTTTTTCCATTGTTTAAGGCAAAGACTGATATCAGTTATCGAGTATATTTTTTCAATATTTCACAGTACTTTAAAATATCTTTTAGATGTGAGTTTGTTGTGCTGTACAAAAGGTATATAAAAGTGCTAATTGATCAATAGCGAATAAGAATAAAAAATATGTGCTCAGTACACAATATCAGTAAAAATACACCTCAGTTTTGTATATTATCAATATTTTTCAAATTGTTAATGCCACTCTTTTCCAATATTAATTTGGTTACCAGGTTTCCGACGCGTGATGTCAGTACCTCATTACGCTGTAGACGCGTGCGAAGACATCAACGAGTGCGCTGAGCAGCTGGAGCTGTGTCTGCCCGGCGTGTGCGTCAACAACGACGGCGGGTTCGTGTGTGACTGTGATGCCGGATACGAGCCTAGCGAAGACGGGAAAGCTTGTATCGGTTGGTACACCTAAACTGTCCATTATTACGTTTAAAAATATGTCAAGCAAGTAATAATTGGCACATCCCTTTTCAGATCGCCGAACGGGCATGTGTTACAGATCGCTCGTGTCGGGACGTTGTACGCCGGAACCATGGCCTTCTAGGATATCGTCTTCAACGCCTGCTTTGCCACAACACGTCACAAAGTAAATAACATTTTATTGCTTACTTGGCTGTTTTCATGTAGAACCACATGTTTTGATAATGAGCTCAGTTTCAACTTTTGTCTAATGCAATACAGAATTATTATAATAGTTTTGTTTTTTGTGTATGTACTTATGAATAAATATGTTCATTTCAGGGCTCAATGTTGTTGTACACTCGGTGCCGCATGGGGTCCGGAGTGTGAGATATGTCCAGCGCATGGCTCAGCCGAGCGAGCGCAGCTCTGCACGCCGACTAACCTTGGCGGAGGGGGCAGCAATGGTGGTGGAGGTAGCAATGGTGGTGGAGGTGGAGGAAATGGCTGGGGCGGTGGAAATGGAGGGGGTGGTGGCAACATCGGCGGGGGAGGCGGCAGTCACGGTGGGACCATTCCTGGCGGAGACCACACTGTCCCTGGCGGCGGGGGAATGATTCCAGGAGGATTCCCAGATATATATGGGGATGTGGATGAGTGCGCCGCCATGCCAGGCCTGTGCGCACCCGGCAGATGCGTCAACACCATTGGCAGGTGATTCGAGTCAAATCAAACATGTAACAGACTAGTCTGCAATGATGATGTGGCAACGATAAAAAACATTAGAATAACGATGAGTGTGAGTAGGTTTTAGGTTGCAAGTAATTTCACCATCTTTTTAATACTAATGATCGCGTATTTCCAGTTTCCGTTGTGTGTGCGGGCGCGGCTACCGTGCGGCGGGAGACATATGCGCGGATATAGATGAATGTGCGTCGCGGCCGAAGCCCTGCTCGCAGACCTGTCGTAACACCGAGGGCTCGTACGAGTGCGGGTGCCGCGCAGGTTACGAGCTGGATGATGACGCCGCCGACTGTCGCGACGTGGACGAGTGCGAGCGCGGCACGCACACCTGCCAGCAGACCTGCACCAACACAGACGGTTCCTACGAGTGCTCCTGCCTCGAGGGATACGAGAGGCGAGGCGACGCATGTGTCGGTAAATATTACTTCGAAGCTGCAGCAAAATCACTTTACTTTTATTTATCACAAAATCGAAAATTATAAACATGTAATTCGATAGGTATAAAATTCATGTCTATATGATTTTAATTAATAAAGAATTCATTATTGGCCTCTTATATTCGTCGCGAAGGAAAAAGAAAACGAATGATCGAAGCGAAATATTACCGTTTGAGTATACCACAGGTTTATTTCACTACACCGTTTTGTTTTGTTAAAGAGTTAGTCGCACAGTATTTAGCACTTTTGGTCTGCGATGTTGAGGTTTAGCAACTTTATATGTGTTAGTCACCAAAATAGGTGACCAAAAATTTATTTTCTCCAGTTTTTTCATTCTTCAGAAAACACGTTTGATTCCATTAATTGAGAAAGTCTGTTCATGTCGGGATATTAATATGGTGATATAATGATGAATTTTAACCTTTCTCGATATTAAGGTACTGCACTTCAACGATAGTGGCAAATTATTGGATCACTTTATACTCATAGAGGTATATGTCTATATTATTTCCAGATATCAATGAGTGTCACGAGGAGGGCATTTGTCCCACGCCCGGCAAGTGCGTGAACTTACTGGGCTCGTACCGATGCGTGTGCCCGCGCGGGTACAGGCTGGACCTGACGGGGCGGTGCGTGGATCGCGACGAGTGCGAGGACGGCCGCTGCCAAGCGCCCTGCAGAAACTACGCCGGCGGCTACCGGTGCGACTGTCCCGCAGGTAACATCTACTCACTCTACATAACATATACATGTTAATATTTAATCTGTAGAATATGATATGCAACTATCAATCTGATTGAGGTTATATTAGAGTGGCATTTTGTGGAAATGACGACTGACGGACGTTTTATGAATTGAGAAAAGCACATTTCAGCTGCTTATTCCTTATAATTTGAATTTTTTTATGTGTCACAAGTCAAAAAATCGTAGTTTGATCAAACTGCTATCAACTGATCATAAAAAAAGAACTAAAATCCGAAACGAAAACCTGTGATTTGAGATATTCTCAACTTTTCAATTCAATACACTATTATATCCATTAATCATCCTCGTAACCAGCTAGCTTTCTTCTTGTCTTCCTAGACAGAAAATTATCAGGAGCCATTAGATCTTTTCGAATCTTGCAATCAGTATTATTTTCGGTTTGCACAATTGCACAAGTAATTTTTTATATATACTATATAAAAATATTCGATTATATATATTTTTTGGTACAGTTCATATACTTGAAAGGTGAATACGGATCATTTATCTATGTACTATATGGTCATGCAGGTACGGTGCGGTCTGGTACGGCGTGCGTACCGGTGGATGCGTGCGGAGGCGGCGCGTGCGGTTCATCGCCGTGCTTCCCGGTGGGCGGCGCGTACCGCTGCGGCTGCCCCGCCGGGTACGGATGGGACGCAAGGCACGCCGTCTGTCTACAGGTACACACACACCACTACTCAACTGTGGACTAATATGTTTGATAGTGTTGATTTATGTTGATATAAACTATTCTCGATACGCTACGCCACAACTTGGATAGCACATATCTCAAAAATGTGACGCTTTAGTAAATCACAAATTACAAATTTTGTTCTTAATAAATTATATTTTAATATAAATATCAAATATAATCATCTATACATAAATAAATGAATGCCTGTTTCCCTTGGTCACGCCATCATACGTGAACGGCTGGACCGATATCGCTAGTAATTTTTTTGTTTGTTAATGTCAGGAAAAGGTTTTTATGAAAGAAAAAATAAGAGAATTGTGTGGAAAATTTTCAAAATCACTTGTAAGTTAACCTGGACAATATAAACTATTTTAATGTAACTTTATGACGTTTGACATAGAATTGTTAGAATACGTGCTGCAAAATTTCATAATGGGACAGGACAGCGTCTGTCGGGTCAGTTAGTTAATACTAGGTTAATACACATTTTTGATATAAGTTTTAGAAACAATGCTTCTGTGGTTAACATGCGTTATATTACTATCGTATATCATTTTTTTTTATTTTTTATTGTTGTATACTATCATACGGCTGTATACAATACGATATAATACGTTACATCAGTGCTTGCTAGGAATGCGGCTCGAAGGACCAATGTCCGGTGTACCTATATCAAAATTATGTCGTAAATGATAATACTTGATTGTATGGAAACTGTGTGTTTAGGAACAATTTGAGTTTATGAGTACACGTAGTGCTCTTGACGGTAGATTGCGAATTGAATTAATGGTGAATGTAATGATGGATGAACTAGCTTGCATCATGCGGTGTAAATACTGACAAAAGCATGTACGCGCTTGCACGTACAATCTAAATTATATGACTGATGGATGTATTCCAGCTGGCGGGCGGATGCGCGACGGCAAGTTGCCTGTTCGGTTGCCAGTCGCTGGGCGAGTCATTCCAGTGTGGGTGTCCCGCGGGATATCGGCTCGTGGGCGCGGGACACTGCCTCACTGCGCTCGACGCTGGGCTGGCGCCTGACGATATCGGGGACGCGCCTGTCTTCCCGCTCCGCGACCAGTACAAGGTCGCCAGTGGCACTGGAGATCTCATATCTAACGAGGGCTGCTTCAGCTGTAAGGTGAGGCGGGAATCGACACAAGCGAATATCAAATATGATAAGGTTGACAATGACAATTTTTTCGATAATTGCAACTTTTTTATTTGTCCTTTAGAATAGACCCCATGATTATGATTCATCTATCTGACTTTTGGAAATGAAATTTTAATAAAGAAATTAATTTTGATTGCAACTTTTACAATTGAACTAATAGGTGTAGTGTTTCAATAGTAAGTAGTGTATTTTATGGAAAACATTCTATTTCGTTAAATCAGATAAACGGACGTCATCGACGAGCTCCGGAAGAAGGTATCGTATTTGCGAACGGAACCACCATTGTCAGGAAACGCAGAAGACGAAGCCGACGTAAGTTCTATTTGCTGAAGTTAATAGTTTTCTCCATTACAAGAGTTTAGGAAATTCTTCTCTTACATTTAATTATTAGTCATATTTTCTCAAGTCTATTAATGTATAGAGGAAAGATTTTATTGTTTGTTTATATTGAATAGACTCCAAAACTATTGTACAGATTTAAAAATTCTCTCACATATGGGTAGCTACATTATACGCGTTTGACATAGGTTATAATCTATGCGTGCGTAAAACAGTTAATATTTTTATTTAAGAGACGACTCTGCCTCTTAAATAAAAATATTAGCTGGTCGGGTGATATTAACTCTATAATAGACTAAACCTTGCGGACTAAGTTTCAATCGTCTATTATACGAGTTACAAATATAGGTTTCAGTCGTCTATAAATAATATGTTTGGTGTAGGTCGCCGATCCCTACTGGAGCCGGAGGCGGAGTTGATAGTGATAACGGCATCGGCGCGTCAGACGTGGGGCCGCGCGCCGCTACTGCGGCTGGTGCCGGCGGCGGGGCGCGCGCGCGCTCATTACCGCATCGCGTACGGCGACCACGACAACCACTTCCTGCTGTCCAAGCGTGACGGCGCCTGGGCCCTGCGACTGCGCCGCCACCTGCCCTCCAGCGCCGTCCTCCAACGGCAGCTGGAGGTGGAGGCCCGGTTCGTGCCGGTACCGGACGCGGGCCGCCGACCGAACAAGCGGAGTCGCCGCCAGATCGACCTGAACACGCCGCCCCCTATGCGACTATACGTCACCGTCCGCATCGCCCCGCCGAAACGCTGATCGCGTATGCCGCGCCCTCTCCTTATGTGTTTCGTTTTCGATCGATTCCAGGGCTTCAATTCTGCTAAAGTTAACTTAGTAATCGTGTCTCGATTGATTGGATTTTACCATTTTCCTATCTATGCGAGCTCCAATATTATTAGGGCAATGTTTTCTTCAATTTTGTGATTTCTTACCGAGAACTGTGTCAAAAACAGTTGTTATATTTACTCGCCATAGTTACGCGTAATATAGGAATCGACTAATCAACTTAACTTATTGTTGATAAATACTGACCCGATTCGTTTAGGAGAGATGCGTTGAGCGCCTCCTCGATATATCGATTTTCTCGTATCAAGGTTATCGAAAGCTATATTTTTCTGTGCTGACTTCCGCGACGACTGATATAATAGTCACCATAAATTATAATTTTATTTATGTAAATAATTAAAGATCGTTTTACCTCCTATTATTTTCCTATTAAAATCACTGCCACTTTTTATTCAGTCATCGAGCAAAAGCTAACTGTCATTCGCGTTGTGAAAAAGAATAATTTGAAATGGAAAATCTGAACGTTCTAAAAAGAGCAAGTTATAAAATAAATTGGAGACTAGGCTAGTCTTACAGAATTAGTGACGCTGATATACGAATCGTTTTCTTAGTAATACTAGGTACGTATTCCATTCTTCTTCTATAGTGTAAGAAAACAAAATCATTTGATAAAGTGCACGCTCCATTAGGATCGTCAAATTGTTAGGACGATCTCGTTGGCAGTATTAAATTGTGTGAAATGTTGAATGCAATATATTTTTATGTAGTTAGTTAAAATTATAGTAGCAATTACCATTGTTGTAAGCCTATTATTAAATAACAAATTATTTTATTAAAATTATAGCAATAATTGTCGATAATTTTAATATTGTCACGTCACTATTTGCCATTTAAGACCAGTGTATGTTCTATGAATTAAATAAGTAATGAATGAACGAATAAATTATGAAAGCTATTTATTTTTATTCTCATTAATAGATTAAGTTAGCAATATAAATTTGATATTTTGTGAAATTATTTTATACTTTCGTATGAAGTATTGATCATAATAATATTTAATATTTAGACCAACTGGTCTAAGTACAAAAGTGAATCAAATAGAAATGTTTAATTTTGTAAATATGTGTATACAAATAAAAAAATAATATAATAACGTAGTAGGATTTAAGAAATAATTAAATTGCATAAGTTTTATTAGTCAAAGGATGAGAATAAAGTAATAAACTTTTAAAATCACATACCTGGCTTGTTTTATTAGTGTGCGTGGAAGTGTTAGTCACCGCCTGACGTATGCGGGCGTTGAGATGGGGCAGGGCGCAATTGACAAGACGCACATGAGGTATTTAATGTCAGATAAATCTCAGGATAACACGTAAGAATCTATCTTGATCAATATAATCAATTTATTTTTGTGTAACTAGAAAATAGAGAAATATTACATTATGAATATCTCTATTTTCTAGTTACACAAAAATAAATTAGTATTTGAAGGTGTTTATTAAATTTACGATACAGTTTTATAAGCAAATTACCATTTCTAAAGAAAAAATCAAAAAAATATTTTTATTATCACCGTTATAGCACAAAATTAATCGATATTTTCTTCTTCTTCATTACTAGACATATCTTCAATTTCCATATCCTCCTCAGAATCTGACTCATTTCCTTGATTTATGATTAGCTCGTCTGTCATATTGTCAAACCTCATGTCGTGGTTCCAATATTAGTACTTAATTTTTTGTGCGTGGTCGTCACACTTTTATCATTTTTGAGGAGTGAATTTAGAAAACAATCTTGTGATGATTGGAATTTTGTTGTCCAATGATGAATTTATACAATTTGAAGCTAAATTGTTTTTTATATCGGCCTACACTAGCTCAATGGAGTTGAAATCGGGATGATACGGCGGAAGGCGAAGAACGATATGACCTGCAGTCTTTAAAATTTAGTCAATAGTGTAATTTTTTTCGGACTGAGTTGTTTTTATCAGAGAAAGGACTTCGGGTTTAGTATTTTCTTGTGTAAAATCAACATTATGTTCGCGTCACCAATCTTGCATGACTCTCTTTAAACTTGACATTGTTGGTATTTTCTCAACCTGTATGCAATGGTAGGAGGTATTGTCCATCACGACCACTGAATTAGGAGCTAATTTCTTTTTCAATTTGTGATTTGCCCAGTTATGAAATTTGTGGTATTCATATCCCCATGGTAATCCTTGTATTTCGAATCTAAATAGTTAAAGCACCGTCAACTGCCACCATGAACAATCACTAAACGACACCCTTTGCCAATATATAAATACCAGGCTCAGATTCGGATTGCCAACACATTTTAGGCTGATGTTAACGTAGATTTTATCCAGAAAATATATGTTTCGGTTTTTATTTCTCGCTATTCAGCTATACTGGGTCTCTCAATCAAAATATGTCTCTTAGATTTACATTTCTTAAAGTAATATCCCATCTTTTGTAGAAGCTTTGTTAAATAGGTTTAATAGGTATTCGTAGTTCACGATACCATCTTCTTTTAAAAACTGCAAGCAACTTACGAATACTTGGGATTTTTTTTCTCAACAGTATAAAACCTATGAATTGTTTTCGCATGCCCATGTCAAAATCATCAATATGGATTCTCTGTTTTATTTGATTAGGTTTCCGTGGAGACGAAAATTTCAGGCTTTCCGATGTTTGCAGATTTGAATTTCCTTCAGCTATAATTCTCTTTACACTGCGAGCTGACACTCCTGTAGCCCCTGCTACTAATTTATTAATGTTCATATCATATTTGTGTTTTATACTTTCCTTGTTGACTTTTCGTCTAAGAAAAAACTGTGGACATTGTAAATAATATTTTTCACTTGTCGTATAATTGGCGGACCCATCTTAGGATATTTTATCTTATGAATGTTTCAAACAAAGCGGTACAAACAACTGACTCGTGTAACCGTCACGGTGGTCGACGGTAGACTGAGTCAGCTTGACGTTCATTTACCTTCGCCGTCCTGCCGCTCACATACCTCAGGCAGTGACTAGCAATTGAGGCGGTTACCAAAAAGCAAAGTATATATAACAGCAACAGCACATAATGGTTTAAATTATTCCTATATAATATGAAAAAAAAAATTGTCACGAAGAGTATGGTGCTTAAATAGTATCTCTCATCATGTCTTAAGAGCATGTGTTGCTCAGAAGGTTTGCAGATAGTTTTCCGGATGTATAAACTGCCATAAGTTGGACTTCCGTCCCACCTTCATAATCTTCTCTCTTAACTAACTGAAATCGGATAATACATAAACTAAGCGATAAGCGATATTTTTTTCTGGTTTATGGTAGTATTTAGTTTAAGTTAGTATATTTCAAGGCATCAGTTTAGTCCCGTAATTCAAATTCTCAAATACACATCACACTTCCAATTTACTAATCTACATAGTAGCCAATAATATAGCGAATGCTTTATAAATTTTTTTTGGTCGGTGAATCTCAAGCTAACTTATAAAGGCAATCACCACAATATAGACTAATGTGTAGAGTGGCAATTATACATATAGAATTTAATTTATGGTATAAAACTCTCTGCCATCAGTTCCATGACAGGAATGGTAGTGTTTAAATTCTCTTTGAGTTTAGCTCTACACTGGGAAGGATTCACTTGACATTGGCAGAATTGTGCGAAATGCGCAGATAAGCCATTATTAAAAAAAGAAGAAGAAGAAGACACTGGGAAGACAAAATTATCCGTCAAGTTGTAATGTCACATTGAGTTATTGAAAATATTATATATTTACATAAAAGTTTGAATCATCGACGCTAACAAGAGTTTGAGTCAAGTCAGGGGAAGCGGTAGCTGATTTCGCACCATGTCGAAAGGAAAAGAAGAATTTTCCTGCGAAATGTTCTCCAACAAATTCTTTATGCTGTGCGCGGCAGGCGGTGCGGCTGCGTGTGGGATCACGCACACCGCCGTCACTCCCCTCGACCTCGTCAAATGCCGTCTGCAAGTCGATCCTGGGAAATACAAGTCCATATTCAAAGGTTTTGGCATTTCCTTCTCGGAAGGAGGCATACGGAATCTTGTCAAAGGCTGGGCACCCACACTAATTGGCTACTCACTCCAAGGATCTGTAAAGTTTTCTGGTTACGAATATTTCAAATACAAATTCTCCACCATGGTAGATGAGGAATCTGCGTTTCTCTACAGAACATACTTATACCTAGCCGCGTCGGCATCAGCTGAGCTCATAGCAGATGTATTTTTATCACCGTTTGAAGCAACTAAAGTGAGGATGCAAACGACGCCGGGTTACACGTCTCAGATGAGAAAAGCTATGCCTCATATGTTGGCTACAGAAGGATTCGGCGTGTTTTACAAGGGACTAGCGCCGTTGTGGGGAAGACAAGTTCCTTACACGATGATGAAATTCTCATCATTTGAAAAGACCCTTGAATATTTATATGCCAATGTGGTACCGAAACCTAGAGAACAGTGCTCGAAGGGAGAGCAGCTGATAGTGACATTCACGGCGGGATATATTGCTGGAGTGCTGTGTGCTATAGTGTCACATCCATCAGATACTGTCGTGTCAAAGTTGAATAAGGACCCGAGCGCTTCGATTGGTGGAATACTCTCCGAAGTGGGACCTGTAGGAATCTGGAGAGGCCTCGTGGCCCGTATAATCATGATCGGAACTTTAACAGGACTACAGTGGTTCGTTTATGATGCCTTCAAGGTCTACACTAAAATGCCTCGTCCACCGCCCGCACCTATGCCAGAGTCACTTAGAAAGAAATTGGCAGCGAAGAAGTAATTTTAATATAATTTATATTTTTTGTGTTAAATCGTGTTGTCCACAATTTTAGGTTTCAATAAAAACTTATGTTTTATTGTATAATCGTTTTAAATGCCGGTTTCTTAACTATCAAAGTTATTTTGAAATGAATATTGAATATAAACGTAACATATGAAAATACTAGTAAAAAGCATACTTTTCCTTATCTTATGTTACGGCGCATTGTTCGAGATAATACCTATATTGTTTATTCATGAACCGAATGTATGCATTATGGGAACAATCATATTTGCTTTGGGAGTAGCGTGAAAACGAAAAATAAGGATCCTTTTATTGGAAACCGATTCTTCACCAGTTATCTACTATATCGTGGAATACGAACAGAAAAACAGATTATAATAGCACGCGACGATCGTATACAAAGGCAGTCTGGATCCTCCGGGCGGCAATAACAATAATATGGGGATTTATCGGAACATCGTGCCCCACTTACCGGACTTAGCCGTTCCTATCCGGTTGAAGTGACCTTAGTAAATGGACCGGTTGCCCGGCTATGTTTTATAAGTGGCCGGATCGCGGCTGCAAACACTGCCCCCATTTAACATAATCTGGGAGTTATCTTCTGCTTGCCAGATATATGTTCCTATTTTTACAGTTTTGTGGAAATCCCTTACGGCGCATGCTATTGAAGGAGATGGTGGGATCGTGAATGCGTAATAAGGACATACTAGCTGAAATGGGCCGGGACTATTGTTATTTATTTTGTAGAAATTTTGTTACATGGAAAGCTTTGTTACATTCAAGGAGAATCATCGGAGAACCATTCGAATAGCTGTTATGTCTACTAAAATGGCAAGTTTGAATTGGTAGTTGTCAAGGTAGTAAGTATTTTAGTACTTGAATGATGCTTTATTTAAGTAGAAATTACCTATATACATGTATATGTGTATAATTTTACAGAACAGATTTACTTTTATTATTTAGCTACCCTAATATGAAATAGTTGAAAACGGAAATTGGTTTAGGAAGATTTTAACCGACTTAACTCGGTATTGTTGATTGAAATCAGTTCGTTATATTGCTGCATTAATTATTCAGCAGTGAAACACGATGGTCGCATTCACAACCGAAGTAAACTCGCGCGCAGAATGTAGTTAAGAAGTATTTAATGGCGGGAAATGTCACGTCCACTGTTTCCGATAAAGCAAAACTGGCGACCGCTTCCCTGTGAACATAAGCTGAATAAGTCAGGTTGTTCACTAGGGTCGACAATCAGATAAACTGTTTTCCACTAGTTCTTCATTTAACACTAGTTCAATTCAAATTTGACAATATTAACGTTTTACTTAATGGTGGCAAAAGCATATCCACAGTGAGTAAAGGCGTGTTTCCTGATTGTGCCTTCATCAAATCAATTGCAACCAAATCAATCGCAACGAAAATCAGGCTAATTTTAAGTTACATTACTCTCTAAATATTTTCTAGAAAAACAAAAACAACGATATAGAAAGCCATTATAAAGATGGTTAGGTGATTAAGGCGTTCAATTGCAACTACCAAAGACAATAATTTTCGTATTTAATTAAATAACTAGTATGGATTTAAAAAAATATTGCAAAGTGGACAACCCTGTGAGTGACGCGGTGGCGACTTACCAAGTCCATAGCAAGTTCCGAATGGAATTCGAGTCGCGTTCGGAAATGTTTTTAATATTGTTGCATAACTACAAATGAAGTTTACGAGTTTTCATGTGCTCTTTATTATTAAAGTTATACGTAGAAATTTCTGTTATATTTTTTTTCACATAAATTTGTTAGTTCACTCTTGACATAGTTTGTGAGAACATTAATTAATAAACAATTTTAATAAAGAAACACATCATATCTTCATTCATCTAAATAAATGGTAATTAGCTATTAAATAATGGATTTTTTAGCATGTATAGGTAATCAATGTTAGTTACCTAGAATATTATGTTTTGATTATTCTGTCGTCCTGAAGCGGATTACGCAAAACAAGCTGCTTTGAGCAACAACAATCACCCACTATTTCCTTTTTAGGACTCCATACCTTTTTTATACCGAAGGGAACTTAGCCTTAACATTTCATCGAGCTCGTGGAGAGGCCGACTAAAACCGGGCTCTCCTACTGTATGGGTCCTCTCGCGTAGTCCGGTAACCGGTATATGGCAAGGAATTCCAGGCTAGGATTCCATACCTCAAAAGAACAAGGAAACCCGTTATGAAATGAAACTTTAACTCGTATGATGTATAATAACTGATTTATTTTGAAGGTGCCGCTACTTGCTGCTATTTTCCAACTGTGCCCTCTAAATTAATAACTCTAACTGAATATCCTCTACCAAGTATCATATTTCATAATCTAGTATATTTCAGCGAAATTTGCTAAATGTTGCCCGTATCATTCGAGCTACTGTCTTGCATGTTGAACTCTCGTAGTTGAGAAACTCAGTTCTGGATTAATGCTGAATGTATTTATGTCGAAAGCACACGCTTTCGACATAATATTTGCAAACTCTGATGTTATGTTATAAAATATGAATATATAATATATATTATGAATAATTTACTTTCAAAATATAAGCTAAGGAATATTAATTAATTGAAATTGAAATATAAGAATATTGAACCCCATCTATAGGATAATTACGGTATCGAAACAATTCTTTTACTTGTTTTTAAAGTTAATAGATTGTTAAAAGAATGGAAAATCGTTAGAAAAATCAATTGGGGTGCATAAAGATTTCGCTATCTGCACTAATATAGTATCTTTATTGATATTATAAAGAGGAAATATTTCATTGTTTGTATTTGTTTGCAATAAATGGGCTCCGAAACTACTGGATCGATTTAAAAAATTCTTTCACCTAAAAAGAGGCAAATAAAGGATGAAAATGTGAGTGAACAGCTCCATAAATAATATTAACGAATTATTTAATTAATCGTTTCATAACTTGATTTAAATCCTAACATAGTTATGAACACCTACAGTGCTATTAATAAACAAGGTTTAGCGTCATAGTAATTTAAGCTAACATTTCAATTTTAATATTAGTCCAAATTCATATTATACAGAGAATAAGCAAACCCTACTTTATAGGAGTAAGTATTACTTCCGTAAAACCTCGTACTAGATTAACCTTTTCTAAGTCTCTATTTAACAATATGAATTTTGATATTGAGTGCAGTCTCAGCGTACATTTACTCCAACGCTAAACCTTGTTTATTAATAACACTGTTTGAGTATATTTAAATCAGAATAACTCGTTAAATGAAACTCGAAGTCAATAAAGAAAAAGTTATTTTGGAGACAACTATACATCAGCTGATCGGTGGGGATGGGTGCGGGTCGCTGCGATCGCATGCATGGCAGAACTGAATCAAGACAATCAGTATACTGAGATTGTACACTGTTACAATTAGATGTAAACTTGTCTGGAAAAGACGTCGGGATATCGAGTGAAACTGCGACATAAGATTGTTTAGTTCGTGTATTACAGAAATGTGTAAACGAGTCACCAGTCGTAGGTTTAAATTTTATGTACTAATAGAAAGTGCTTGAAGATGGGACTAGCATGGTGAATCTGCGAAAGTTATGCAACTTTTGCAAAGACCAGTCAGTTGCATATGCAGTCGCTAACACCAATCAATCCGGTGGGTCTACATTTTTTATATTCGATTTGATTCTATCCATCAGAAAGTGCAGTGCCTGTGAAGTAGGAACTGAATAGGCTGGTGATGATGGTAGGAAGTGCTAAAAAATGAAATCCCTTCAGTGTTCGAGACGGGATTGGAAATGAGAAATGGTGACCCCGATCTCATTTACCGTAATAATGTCCAATCTAGAAGTACACCATCTGTGATTCAAGCTGATAGTTGACTTAAGGAGTAAGTTTAGATAGTTAGTCGCTAAATATAGTAACTGCTGAATATGCTGATTTGCAGTTACCGACGAATCGAATCTATTATCTCCAAGATTGTTATATGCTTTTACTCTTATATATGGAGTTTTTTCTTGCCATATGAGATATAGGTAACTGTGGAATTTTGTTATTGTAATTGATATTACACAAATAGATTAATCAGCAACATATATTGCAAAATTGTCTAAAGAAACTCTTAAAGACAAAAAAAATATTCATTTAAAATTTGTTTCTAAATATTTTAATACCTGATTTTACAAATAAGTAATCAAGAATTATTAAAATGCGAATGTAAATTAATTTAAAACATGCCAATAAAATAGTTACCTACCAGTAAAAGTTATGACAAAAATGGCTGTTTTATTATATATAAAAAGTTTATTTAAGTTTAGGTAAGACAGCAATGTATGGCACTTAATTGCCTTGATTCCTTCCCTAACTAATACATTTTGTATCGTGTCTAACATCGGCATAGATTTTTTAATATCACGTCCGTGACGATTCGAAAGTGCTTTGATTTTTTATTATTATTCATTAATATGTTTCAATTCTCCCGGAGAATCATACAGTGATTTCTTCACGAGAAAATTAATCCATAGATTGACTTTAATGCTGTAAAATACAATGGCACATAGCGAAGGTTTTGTTGGCATTTGATTCATTTTTGATCGTAAACACATTAAGATTTTAGTATAGAAATCAGCACATTAACCCCCTAGCGGTAACTACGAACTAAAACTCTCACAGTAGCATGGACTTTATCTTTAGTCTGTGATAATAGTGAAGGCGTTAATGTAAAACTTACACTCACCACTGAGAACTAAATTAACTACTCCAATATCTCGTTCATGCTCCACACATATTGTTCAGAAATTCACCAATGAAACGTAGCAGTCACAAACTGACGGAGACCGAGTTACTTTAGCATATAAATTGTGGATTGCAACGCAGCTCGCTGTGTCCACCCAACTACTGGGAGTTTCTATTGTTGCCAATTTTGCAACTGTCAGCTGCATCTTATTTGCATAACTACTGTTAATGAACTGAATATCGATAAATTTATTTATAGCTGTTT